TATTCTTTTAAATATATATAAATTAAGATAATATTATATATCGCGCTAGCGCGTTTAGCTTAATAATAATAAATTTATAAAGAATTTTAAATCTTATAACTCGTATATTACTACGTAATAATAATATTAATACGAAGTACCCGAATTAATAACTATCCCTCTTTTCTATTTAAAGCCTCTTTATATTATAAATCGAATTATTTATAAATACCTCGCGCGACTTAATCTTATTCTACTATTCTTTAATATAATAGTAGAATTTAAGAACTATCTCGATATAGCTATTAATAATTTTTTTATTTAAAAAAATTAATTTTTAAATAATATTCGCGCTATAATTATATTATAAATATATTAAAATATTTATATTAAGATAATAAAAGAATATAGAGTTCTTAGATTAAGAAAATTTTATATAATAGAGATATAATATTAAGCGTATATTTTAATCTAATTAAAGATACGCGTAAAGAGCTTAATAGATTAGATTCTATCGAATAATTTATTACGTTAATAAATAAAATATTATTTAAACTTAATCTTTATTTTTAAATATTATTTGATTTTATTTAATAATAAAGATATATTTTCTTAGTTAATATCGAAGATCTTTTATATTATAATACTTAATTTAAAGATTAAAGAGTATATTAAAAGAATTTAGATAATTATAATAAATATAAATTAATATTAATTCTAAAGCGATAAGAATATAAAGCGCGTTTATTCTTCTTATATTATCTACTATATCGGTTATAATAAGATTCTTTTATTTTATTCGCTTTAGAAAATCGCTAGAAAGGCCTTTATACTTATAAATAAATTAAGTTTATTTCGCTATAGTAATATCTTTATTATTATTTATATAATTTATATCTTCGCTATTTAAATTCTTATTATTATTAATATCTTTATTCTATTAATTAATTAACTTTATAATATTACTCTTACTTTTTATCTCTATAATCTTTTTATAAAGAGAATATTATTATCTTTTATTAAGAAGAGAAGTTAAATAGCTATCTCGATTTCGCTTAAATCGTATTAAGCTTATATATTTTATATTTAACTTTTTAAGTTTAATATCTATAGGCGATAATAATAAGCGAAACTAAATAGCCTTCTTATTATTAATATTCTAGAGATTCTATTAATCTTTAGAAATAATTTCTCTAGTATTAAAACGTCTAAATTAAGTATATTTTAATCTTCTTATAATAAATATAACTATTATATATATCGCTTTAATATATAAAAATCGCTTAATTATATAATTAATATATCTAAGATAATTTTTATTTAAATCTATTAACGTCTAGTTCTTAATAGTCTACTTCTAGACCTTTCGAATAGTTATAATATATTTATTCTTATAATTTCGATTTCCGCTTACCCGCTTTTATAGGTTCTTTAAAAACATCGAATTTAGAATATTATAGGCGTTATACTTTATATTAAAATTAGCTTTTTAAAGTTCGTTATTTATTATTATTCTTTATACCTCTATTAATATCTTATTTATAATTTTTAAGCTATTTATAATCTTTTCTAATATATCTTTAATTAATATTAATTATACTCTATTATTACTAACTTATATAATTAAATCATATATTCTTTATCTAATATTTTAAATTAATACTCTCTCTAAAACTTTAGTATTAAGAGTGAGAATAAAGTTAGATATTATAATATAAGATTAGAATAAAATTAATAGCTCGAAGAATTAAAAGAAGTTATTAAAAGAATTTAAAAGGTAAAGTTAATTTAAAATATTTTAAAATATTTTAAAATATAAGAAAAGAAAACTTATAAATAATAAAAGTAAATATTAATAAAGATAATAATAATAATAATTAGATTAATAAATAGTAACTATTATATTTAATTAACTAGTATATTTTACTAGCGCTTTTTAATTCCTTTAAAAAAATCGTAAATTTTAAAATTAAAAGTTGAAATTTAAGAAAGAGAGAGACTATTTAAATTATATCGAAGATAGAATATATAGTTAAGACGATAGTATTATAATTTTAAACTCTAAATAGATATTAAACTATAAAGACGCGCGGCGTAGTTTTATTATATATAAGTTATTAACTTAAGCTAATATTAAAGCTTATATTTTAAATAATAATATATAAGCTATATAGTTTAATATTAAGATATAAAATCGCGTAACGCGCTTTTATCGTTTATAGCTCTCTTCTAATTATAATTTATCTTTACTTATTCTTTAATATATAAACTAGACCTAGCTCGTAGTCTACTTTTTTTTTAACTTTTTTAAATTATTTTAGAGATTATATTACTTTAATTATCGTTATTTAATTAAAATAAATTTATTTACTCTTTTAATAGTCTTTTCTTTTACTTTATTACTATAACTAATATAAATATAATCGCGAATAATAATTAGACTTTTTTTAATATAATTACTATCGCGATAATTAATAATAAGTTATATAATAAAATAGCTAATAATAAGTTATATAATAAAATAACTAATAATAAATTATAAGATAAAATAGCTAGTAATAAATAGTAAGATAAAGCTTTAATATAAATCTAATATCTCTTTTATATATATTATTATTAATATAGCTATTAATCTAATCTCGGCCTTAAATTAGAAGTAACTTAACTCGAGAGATATATAAAGAGCGTTTTTTTAACTAATAATAAGGTCGAGATAAGTAATAACGATATCGAGGACTTATTCGATTCGCCTTCTCCGTTTTTTCTTATTAAGTCTTATATTAAGAAATTAAAGATCTCTTCTAGCGTTATTAAGAAGTTAACTAAATAAAAGAAAGTAATTTTAAAATTAAAAAAGAGGTTTTAGAAGAATAAATCTACTTAGAAGTTTAAAGATAAAGAATTAAAGAGAGCGTATAACGAATCTATTAATAATGAACTTAATAATATAATAACTTTCGAGTTAACTTCTATAAAAAAGAAACGCGGGGTATTAAATATAGCGAAGCTAGTTAAAATAGTAACAGCTAAGTTCTCTACAAACTACTATATTCTCTATAATTCGAAGAAGGAGAATATAAGTAAATTAGTCTTTTATTTATATATTAAATTCGATAACTATTTCTTATATATTCTCTTTATACTCGCGAATATTAAAGATTTTAAACTTATTTCTTAAGGCGGCGTTCGTCTTAATAATCTATATATTACTATTATTATTAAGTCTAAGTAGTTTAATAAAAAATAGCTAAATACGTTTTAGAGAGTTAAATTTAATTCGAATAATATAACTCGTAATCTTTATAATTCTCTTAGATATATTATAAAAGTCTATAAGAAGATAAATAACGTCGATATTAATAATAAGATCCTTATTAAAGAAAATAAGAATTAATATTATCTTTAATATCGAGAATTTTATATACTAGATAATTAAGAGAGTCTAAATAAAGATCTTTATTTAAAGTAGCTAAGTTTCGAAAAAGATCTTTATATCGAAGTAACTTTTAAGAAAAGCTATTTTATAGCTATTTAATCAGCGCTTAGCCACTCTAATAATAATATATTTTCTCTTATACTAGATTTTATATAATTAACTCTAAAGAAGAAGAATAGCGAAGTTATATTTATAAAAGCTATCTTATATAAGAAAGAGAAGATATTTAAGAAGTTAAAAAAGAGTAAAGTCTTATCTAATCTCGCTAAAAATCTATAAAGTAAAAACTTTAAATAATATAGTATTTAATGAAGAGATTAGATAAGAAATTAATTATAATTAAGATAGTTTTTTATAGCTTAATTATATAATAGCTAGATAAATTCTATTAGATAATTAATAGATAGATTTATATAGATCTTATATAGAATCTTTAAAAGTAATAAATTCTATTAAATATATATTTAATTAAGTTAATATATAAATCGCTAAAAGGTTCTATAATATATAAATATACTTAGTACTATATAGAGTATCGTATTAAAATTTATCTATAATAAAATTATTCTTATATATAAATAATATTTATAGTATATAAATATTATATAGAATTATAAAAATAAGTTTTATTTTATATTACGTCGTTAAGAGAATATATTTAATCTTAAAGTAGTAAAGCGCGTATATCTTAATAATTATCGATAGAAATAAGGTGGATCTAAATGTAAGTTTCGGATTTGCCCTCAAAAGGCTTCCTTTAAATTTCTTTTTAAAAAAAAGGAACAAAACAAAAAGGGAAAAAAAGGGGGGCGAAAAAACAAAGGGGTTATTTTATTTAAAAAACTTCTAAAGGGAAAAAGAAAAAAAAAAAGGCCAAAACAAAAACCCCAAAACCCACCAAACCCCCCAAAAACCAACTCCAAAAAAAAAAAAAAAAAAAAAAAAAAAAAAAAAAAAAACAAAAAAAAAAAAAAAGGAAAATAAATAATTAAATACTTTTTTAAGGAAAAAAAAAAAAAAACCCCAAAAAAGGCTAGGGGGAAAGCAAAAAAAAAAAAAAAAAAACCAAAAAATAAAAAAAAAAAAAACCAAAAAAGGTATTAGAGAAGTAAAGACAAAAAGAGAGGGGGGGGGAGGGGGGGGGGGGTTGAATTTTTTTTTATTTTTTTTTTTTTTTTTTTTTTTTTTTTTTTTATTCACTTCCTGTTTCTATCCTCAAGCAGAAGGCATGTCCCCAATATGCAAACTGGGCGAGACAGAGTGATGGAAAAGAGCTATCTGAAGGGCGATACCAATTGCCCTTCCAGAGGCCCTCAGATGAGTGCCGTACCTTCTATTCGCAGGAAGTCGAGGATGCAATTGAACGCTTAAGACCTAAGATTGCTGACCCAGACCTGTTTCGCCTTTTCGAGAATGCATTTCCGAATACACTCGACACTGCTGTCAAGTGGAAGGGCTTTGCATGGAAAGACAAGCAGGAAGGTGCACTGACGGACGAGGATCTGGCTTTTGTTATCACGGGCGATATGTATGCGCTTCCTTCCTTCTATTCCTGCTCCGGCGCTGACTCCCGGCTAGAAATGCAATGTGGTTACGCGACTCAGCGAACCAGATCCTATCCTACCTACCAGTCCTCCAAGCATCTGAGGATCCCAACTCCTTGGCCGCGCTGTTTCGCGGCGTGATCAACGTACAGTCTCGTTACATCAAAATCACCCCTTACTGCCATGCCTTCCAACCACCACCAGAGTCGGGCATCAATGTTGAATTTAATGGTGCATATACAATGAATACTGTGCGTATGTTTGGGAAGCTGGGATATGATCAGAAAAAGACGTTCGACTGCAAATGGGAGCTTGACTCCTTAGCTTCGTTCTTACAGATTTCGTCTGATTACTACAATGCTACTGGGGATATCGGGCCATTCGAGAAGTATCTGTGGATGGACACAGTTGAGGTAATCCTGGCAGCTGCAGAAGCTATGCGAACCGCGACGTACACACCAGATGGTAGGACGAGCATGGCATAGCGGTCCCTACCCATGGCTGACTTCCGCAGGGCACATCGCACCCAGCGGGTACACCATGAAAGGCAAGACGGATAGAGCTACAGAGACGACTTCAAACGATGGCATAGGTAACCCTGTCATCTACACCGGTATGGTGCGCTCGACCTTTCGCCCCTCAGATGGTAACTCGCCCGAGTCTCACCAGCAGTAGGAAGTCCGATGACTGACAGAAACCACAGACGCAACCATCTTCCAATACCTAATACCCTCCAATATGATGTTCGCACGGTACCTCGAAGAGGCTGGTCTCATAATGCAAAGAATGGATACGCAGAGAAGTAGAGATCTAGAATCGAGAATGCAGAGCATGGCCTCGGAGATACGCGCTGGAATCACGAAATACGGCATAGTGTCACATCCACTCTTTGGTGCTATGTTTGCTTTCGAGGTCGATGGTTATGGTAGCCAGGTTCGTCTCCCCACAATCCCAATAGAGAGATGCTCTACGCTTACATGCCGTGTCAGAATACCATGGACGATGCCAACCTGCCGAGTCTGCTGTCAGCATCCATGATGGGCTACGTTAGCCCGCGCGACGAAGTCTACATGAACACAAGGCTGTTCGCCCTTAGTGAGGCCAACCCATACTGGGCGTTTGGCAATGTCTTCAACGCAATTGGAGGACCGCATACGGGGCCTACGAAAGCATGGCCTCTGGCTAGCATCGTGCGCGTCTTGACTAGTGGGGATATAAATGGGGAGGAACAGAGGGACGAACTGAGAACGATCTTGGGTACTACGGGCGGTCTTGGTGAGATGCTAGGAACTGCGTACGATTCTGGCACTTGAGGCTAATCACATACAGGTCTTATACACGAGAGTGTTGAGTCACACAACGCTAAAGACTATACTCGGTCATGGTAAGCTCTTCATCGCCCCTCTTGGTTTTGGAATACCCCTAGACTGACGACTGTGGCAGGTTCGGCTGGGCCAATGGTATGTTTGGCCAGATGATCCTCGACATCGAAGCGCGAATGCCCCATATTCTGGACGACAGCTATCAATAATCCGACTCCTCCAATATTACTTTCCCCAACCACTGGTATTAAAAGCCTCATACATCAGTATGGCCGCTTTGCATGCCGCCTCCTCTTTCACTATCCTGGCCCGTCTCGCCGCCACCACCAACGAACCCCTTGTTTCCACCGCCCAGCGCGCCTTGAACATCTACCCCTCCTCCACCGCCTCCTCCATCTCTCTCATCCTTAATCTCCGCCTGCTCCGCCTTCTTGCGATCCAGGTCAGATGTAAGGCTAGTCTGCTCGCCGAATCCGTGCTTGCCCTCTTGTGCGGCTGCTATGTCACCGTCACCAGCTGCGCGCATTTGCTCGCCTTCTTGATTGGATACGGGGCCGCCCATCTGTGCGCATCATGTGATTAGAGATGTGTCGCTCAAGATCAAAAACAAGACCTGAAATGTGACCCTCACGCTTTCGTCGGCATCACCGCTAGAGTCCTGTGCTCCGTAGCCTAAGCTGCTTGGCATGGCTTCGTTCTGCGACGCACTCCCTCTATCGCCAACTGTGTCATTGGGTTCACGGCGCTCATAGGCGGGGTCTGAGCGTTGCTGGGATGCGCTTGTGGAGGTAGCATCTTTCCTTTCAGAAGCCGTTTGGTCAGCGGGATTGTCAGGGTTGTCGTAGGCTGTGTCGATTGAGGGCTGGGATGGTGCTTGAGGGTCCATTTGAGAAAGGATTGGGCTTGAGTTGGCTAGATTTTTGGGATGAGACTCCTGAAAATCTGGCACTTTTGGATGTACAGGCGCAGTGTGCAGCGTATAAGACGGGTATATGTTCGTAGAACGTTGTCAAAGCAGTTTGCTGGAGCAGCAAATTGGTCGTTTATTGTGGGCTATGTTCTTTGAGAGTGACGTAGAGAAGCCCCACATTAAACTGCCCTTTCACTCTTGCTACCCAGCGCTCAACTGCCGTCATCATCATATTAGCGTCAAGCTGGCCTGCTCTTCCAATCCGCCTGTACCTCGATATCATGACACCTCCGACAGGTGCGCATATTATTGCCAGAAGTCTGCGAGATCTGGGCATCACAGTCATATTCGGTATTGTCGGCATACCTGTCGTCGAGATAGCGGAGGAAGCTATCAATTTGGGGATCCGTTTCATCGGCTTTAGGAACGAACAGGCCGCAGGCTATGCAGCGAGCGCCTATGGATATTTGACGGGGAGACCAGGTATATGTCTTGTGGTAGGAGGGCCGGGCGTGTTACATGGCATGGCTGGTGTATGTGTACTCATGGGTAGCTGTCAAAGAAAATACATTTCACCCATCTTCACTCATATACCATTACTTCTTCTAGAGCCCCCATGGACTAATGAGACGTACATAGATCGGCAACGCAAATGTAAACGCTTTTCCTCTCCTCCTCCTCGCTGGTTCCTCGGAAACCAACCTTGTCTCCCGCGGAGCATTTCAAGAACTCGATGCCATCTCCCTCCTCACACCTCACACTAAGCTGGCCCTGCGCCCTTCATCTCTCGAATCAATACCAGATGTCATACAAAACACATATCGAATATCATGGTATGGGCGACCAGGCACAGGCTTCGTGGATCTACCTGCAGATTTGATCAAAGGCGTTGTGGAGGATGCAGAAGATGTGGCAGAAGCGGCACCAATACCTAACGCACCGAAGGGTGGTGTTGAGGAAGCTAGATTATTCAAAATTGCTCAATTGATTAAGTCGGCGAAAGCGCCATTGGTGGTTATTGGCAAGGGTGCTGCGTATGCAAGAGCAGAAGGCGTGACAAGAGATCTCATCGACAAGACGAACCTTCCTTTCCTCCCTACACCAATGGGTAAAGGCGTCATCGCCGATTCCCATTCCGCCAATACAGCCAGTGCACGGAGTACCGCACTGAAAGAAGCAGATGTGGTACTTGTATTAGGAGCCCGCCTAAATTGGATTCTACATTTCGGCGACGCCCCCAAGTGGAACCCCGCTGCTCAATTTATACAAGTGGATATCTCAGCTGAAGAAATAGGGAGGAACTCCGGGAATCCGGAACTCGGCATCATTGGCGACATCGATATCGTGGTATCCCAGCTCATCTCTGCGCTCGACAGCTGGTCCTACCCAGCCTCTACACCCTTCATACAGCATCTTTCCGCCGCAAAATCAAAGAACGAAGCCACCGCCGCCTCAAAAGCGTCAGACTCGAGAACACCAATGACCTACGCCCACGCCTTCACCATCATCGAACAGACCCTCCACTCGCTCTCCCCACCGAATGATGCAGGCATCGTATACGTCTCGGAAGGTGCAAATACTATGGACATCTCCCGCTCTATCTTCCCCGTCTCTCACCCACGACTACGTCTTGACGCTGGTACCTACGCTACAATGGGCGTGGGGCTAGGTTATGCGATAGCGGCGCACGCCGCTTATAACGGCTCAGCAGCGGAAGGACAGAGCGGGCCTCAGGGGAGGAAAAAGGTGGTGTGTCTAGAAGGAGATTCTGCATTCGGCTTCTCGGCGATGGAAGTCGAAACCATGGCCCGCTACGGCATGGACATCCTCATCTTCGTCATCAATAACGGCGGCGTTTATCACGGCGACAGCGACGATGCCGAAGCCTGGTTAGAGCTGCAGGGAAAGACGCTGGAGGGCAAGAGTGAAGGTGGGCTCCGGAGTACATCTCTAGGCTGGGAGGTCGGCTATGAGAAGATTGCGGAGGCTTGCGGCGGTGTCGGATATCTGGTCAGGACGCCGGAGGAATTGGAGAGGGCGACAAGAGAGGGGTTTAGAGAGGGGAGGGTGTGTGTGGTCAATGTGATGGTGGAGGCGGGAAAGGGGCAGAAGTTGGAGTTTGGGTGGCAGGCTAGTGGGACGGAGAAGACAAGGAAGAGGTCAAAACTCTGAACGTGTGGTAAGAACAAGGATCATGATCGGAGGGGCGACTTTTCGCATATTTTCGTGTACATATTTGGATTTTCAGGCCCTTGACGAGCTAACTTAGGGTTTACGATCCCTGGTGCACATCGAATGGCAAGGCTCCCGACTCAATAGTCATGCAACCCTTCCTGCAACTACTGGAGACAGGTATTTGGGGGCCCGAGAAACAAAGCTGCTCCGCTTACAGCAAGATCGACATGGAAATTCGCGGCCCAAAGCCCATGCATAACTTCGTTTTGGAACGCAATGGTCCGTCTTTACCACATGGCCCTACGCTCTAGACTCACGGATTTCAGCCCTCAGTCTTCCTATTTCTTTCCGTAAACACCAACTCCAACCTCCCCGGCGTCGCCGTGAACTGATCCCCCATATCCCTCTCCACCGCCTCCCCCCTCCCCGTCCCCGGCGCGAATCCCAAATCGTATCTACTCAGCAGTGCAGCGGTAACGGACCTGATCTCCATCAACGCAAGGTTCTTGCCCACGCAGCCAAACCTCCCTTGGAAAAACGGAGCAAAGGCTCCCTTGTCGTGCACGAGTTCCGGCTCGGAGTACCAGCGCTCCGGGATGAATTCCAGAGGGCGCTCGAAGCAGGAGGGGAGGCGGTGCAGGGAGTAGACGGGGAGACAGAGGACGGTGGAGCCGGGGATGAAGGTGGAGGCTATGGTGACGCCTTCGGGGGGGGATTCGCGGAGGCCGGCGGAGGGGACGGGCGGGTGCAGGCGCAGGGTTTCGTTGATGGCGCCGTTGAGGTGGGGGAGGGATTGGAGGGCTCGGGCGTCGGGGTTTGCGTCCAGTTGGTCGAGCTCGGAACGAATTTTGGAGATTTGAGAAGGGTCGAGGGCGAGGTGGTAGAAGAGCATGACGAGCGTGGTGGCTGTGGTGTCGGAGCCGGCGATGATGATCCCGAAGGCGTCGCCGTTGAGCCAACTGCGGTCGGCCTCGAGGGAGTCGTTCTCGCGAGAAGCGTTGATGAGCCAGGAGGTGATGTCGTTGTTCTCGCCGTCATCTTCACGGTCGATGCGTTCGCGCATTTGGGCGTCGGACCATACGAACATCGATTTCCAGCCGGAAGCCACGCCGGGGATGCTGAAGCCGATCCTGGCGAGCCAGGGCATGGGCGTGAAGAGACCGAGAAGCGTCATCCCATCGCGCATCAGGTCGATGGCGAAATGACGTTTTCCGGTTGCGAGCATGTTGAAGGATTTGCCGAAGGAGAGCTGGCCCATGAGGTCGAAGGACAAGTAGTGGAACCAGGATGTTACATCCAATGGCGTACCCAGACGCTGGGATATGGCGGACGTGAGGATAGAGGTGTAATGGTTTACTTGAGGTTCGTATTGGTTTAGGGCTTTGGCGCCGAAGCCATGGTCCCAGATTCGGCGGCGCTGGTCGTGAAATGATTTGTTGCGGGTGGTTATGATAGAGGTTCGGGGAAGGAGAAGGTCGTAGAAGGGGGCTTTGGTGCATTTGCTGCCGGGGCCATTGATCTCAGCCATTGCTGAGGGAGAGCGGATTGAGATCTCATTTGGGCCTAGATGTATGTTTCTTAATTCAGAAACCTTTCAGCCTTGATGGAGGTACTACGATACTCACCAGTGCGAACAAAATCTCCAAATTGCTGATGCAACTCATCCAGCACTCTAAAGTTCGGCTGGCTTAACAGCTTGCCCACATGCCAGAATTTTGATACTCGGGCCCCTATGGGACCTGGAAATTTGCGTAATTTATGGAAAAAGATACGATATATAGCAATGCTAGTAAACAGAGAGGCGCTATATGAGAGGACTATGAGCGCGGACGCTCTGGCTGCTTGACTTGATTCGCTGAGCGCCCATATTCTGGCCTCACCGATAAATAAGAATAAGGAGAGGAGTAAGAAGGAGCGGAAGAGCTGCGGGGCTTGAATGTGGTGCTCATTGCGGATGAAGATGAGATTGTGAGAGAGGATGCCCGCTGCTGCTGCTATGCAGAGCTTTGTCTGTTGCAGCATTCTCAATGAAGAGGGTCATACATTCTGTAGGTTTCAGGGCGCACTGCAAGCACTATAAAGGGCCTTCAGGCTTCATGTCGATCTGGCAACGAGCCTTGGATCTCGCCGGACGCCTGGTCCAGAAACATAACACTGAACACATTGGCCGAGAGCGATGTCTTGTACGGATAGATAACATCGGCTTCGTATTCGGGAGGTCCGCTGATACTACTACGTACTTTAGGCTGAAGCAAAGCCGATGAAGTTCGAATTGGCTCTCGCGGTGTCTGCGGTAGCCCATGGGGAATAATAAGGGTGCCTGCATGACTGCCCTCCACATTTGGGTCTCCCAATTCCTGGTCTTGATTAGCCTCTGAATCGTCTTGACGGTCAGCTGGGTATGGCGACTTGAATGCCCTTGTTGCCGTTAACTCGGCGAGACCAAAGGCCCATTCGGTTCGCTTTCTCGTCACGGCTGCAAGAGTGGTGGAGCGAGCGGAACGATTGGGTTGTAGAAAGGGACATACCTCGGGTGAATATCGGGATACTAAAATAGTGTCATAGTTTAAATACTAAGGTAAAGTGTTGCATTCATGCTGCGTCATTAGCTCCTGGTCTATCTAGACTTCGTCCCGTGCTTCCTTCCAATAGATGTCTCCAGGATCGTAAGCATGCTGCTACTGACGCAGGTGAGCTTTTACGGCTGCTCCCTACAAGTGGAGCGTTGGTCTCTGCCGTGATCGAGTGATTGAGATCGGGGAAGCGGAGACATGCGTTATCTGCTTCCTTCCTTTGATTCATTTGGGCACCAGGCAGAGGAGTTGCGACCTTGCACAAGCAATGTGGAGGAAAGACAAGGAAAGAAAAGAGAAAAGCAATTTGCTTCTCAGCTGTCGTGTTTTGAGGTTGACTATCTGTTCTTAGGTCCGCTCTCATGCATCTACATAGCTATCGATTTTGTGTGACGGTCACCCCTTTATTCGCACGAATCAATGGTCTACGCCAGAATGGACTTGCATGATTGGGCCACTTTTTCACGCCATGTGTTCCTCTACAGAATTGAGTTCAATGCGGCGGTCTTCCAATCCTTCAATGCCGGAGCTCTCTAATGCCTGAAGCTTGAGTCCTACGAATCCTGAGGCCCGAGGCCCACATTCTTACATACTGGATGGATGGATGAATGGATGGGTGGATGGATGCTGCTGTGCCACCCAGCTAGTCCACACACACCTCGGTTCATCTAGGAAAAGTAAGAGGTCACAGTCATACCTCAGCCGCTGGCTTGGACGGCCATCTAGAGCGCTTTTTGGACCAGGCTCGCTGAACGTAAGGAACGAAAGCCCAGACATGCATGGGATTACAGAAATGTGGTACCTTCACCCATCAGATGAGAAGCGCCAATTAGTCCCTAACGACGCATGCAGTAGTTTTGCCGTCGGGAAGGTTAAAATGCTTTTCTGGATTTGATGACGTTTCGCTGGGAATGGGAATGGCCACAGAGACATTGATTTACTATCCTGGCCTAGGATGGACACCAGTATGACTGAGTGGAATTCTGCGGCACGAATTTTGCACCCACATCATTGGGCGGAGTGTGTCGTCCAGCCATCAGAGAAATCCAGTCAAGGGGAAATAAAGCAGCTATCACGACCAGGACAGATAAGGCCATTACTCCGATATCCGTGGAATGCTAGACGTGCCCGGCCTAATCGACCAGTGGGATGGTGCCACGCATCATATTCATTGCATCCGTATCTCCTTCCTGTCCATACTATATACACTTTGCTCTGCCATCTTCTGATTTCACACCAAACACATCTCATTCAAGATGGATATTAAAACCGCTGTTGACGCCTTTGGTGTTCTTGAAAAGGTCCAGGAGCTCGGCGCGAAAGTCCATGAATTGAGTGAGAGACCAATGGTAAGTGTTACTATCTCTTGGTAATTTCCAATTTCCAAGTGGCAAATCTTCTTCTGCCGGCCAACCTCTCTTACGCTTGACCACAGGAGCCCGTAATCTCAGTAGAGCAAGACCTCTTCTATCATGGCAAAACAATCTGGCTTTTCACGTACAGCGACTTGAAGACCATCGTCGGGCCAGAGACAGCCTTTGGGATCCTCAGTGCTCTTTCAGGATCCATCCTTACGACGAATCAGTCTCCAGACTTTTCCGCCATTCTCAGCCGGATACCAAGAGTTGCATTTTGGTGCTGGATCAACCTTTTACCCTTCGCCATCGACAACCAACGACAACCAGAGGCGATCGAGGAAGATAGGGAGAATAAGCCATGGAGATCTATGCCGTCCGGAAGACTGTCTGAGAAGCACGCCAAATGGCTGATGTGGAGTCTGTATCCTGCAGCAATCGTTGCGAGTCTGAAACTGGGAGGTCTGAAGCAGTGTTTGGCACTGATATTTCTGGGTTGGTGGTACAACGATCTGGGAGGTGCCGATCACAGTTGCATAACGCGGAACTTCATCAATGCCTGCGGCTTTCTTTCTTACGCATCCGGTGCAACTGAAGTCGCTTCCAGAACCGAGTTGTTGGGCAGTCCCTTCAAGCCGATTGCGTGGCCGTGGTTTCTCATCATTGGTGCTGTTGTCTTCACCAGCGTACAAACCCAAGACATGTACGATCAAGCCGGTGATGGACTGCGCGGAAGGAAAACAGTTCCGCTTGTGGTTGGAGATCATTACGCCAGGTGGTCGATTGCTATCGCGATGGCAGTCTGGTCTGTCGTCTGTCCCACCTTTTGGCAGTTGGGTCCAGGCGCTTATGCGATGTCAATGATTACCGGTGCTATCGTCATCTTCCGAACTCTCGCTAAAAGATCAGTTTCAGCCGATAAAATGACCTTTCGGATCTGGAATCTGTGGATGGTCATGCTTTATTTAATGCCACTGTTCAAAAGGATCAAAGGGGACTCCTGGCTATGATCGAGTGCGCTTCCGAGCTCAATTACACAAACCCCGATAATCCGGGATCCGGTCTTTGTCGGTGTCAACTGAGCTCCCCCGCTTCGATTCCAGGTGCATGGTGCGGTATCATCTTTGCCAAAGTCGATTTCCTCTTCAACGCAGGATCACATGAGGCCGAGGCTCAGTTTCTATCTCTCGACTTGATAGCCTTCTTCTAGCGCAATTTGGAAGGAGTTGAGGAGCTCTCAAATCTAATTTCCAGTCTTCGAAGTGTCACCTCCATTGGGTACTTTAATCGAAGAGCACGCTGCGCTTCTCCATGCCTACTCGACACAAAAGAGCAAAGGAAAGCTTCGATGAAATACACCTTGTTATTGTTCTTGAAGGGTCTCTCGCGAGACGATCCATGATAACCTAGTCTGCACTTTAGGGCAGCATTAGTGCTTCACTCGCAGGCAGTGTCTACGGCATCCCTTTCAAAGAGCGCATCGACCGCTACTTATAGTTACGTTGCGAGTTGCTCTGGCACGATGTAACACGCGCAAGAAGAGCCATAATAGAACTATTGGTAGCTCTTCATAGCAATGCTACCTATACACAATGCTACGTTGTGATACTGCAGGCTGTCAGACCGCCTGTGATAGTGTCTCACAATCATTCTGCCAAATTCTTTGCCGCACGCATCTTTGGTCCGAGCCATTTGTCAACGGGGAGAGTTATCTTTGTGCCAAATACGGTTCTATGCAAGCAGCCCCTCGGTTGTATTTCGAACTTGTGTCATTGGCCACTGGACGTTGGGGCGATGGCTAGCTGCGTCGTGGTTGCCTTAGGGTTGAGGCGGGCCTTGCCGTATCTGGTAGCGGGCCTCGAGCTACAGCACAAGTGATCTGGTAGCTCTTTTAGTGCTCAAACTTGCTGATACAGTACCTACCCGAGCTACCGTCTAGGATTTGAATACGGCCGGAGGATTAGGAAGCTATTCATCGTAATAAGCTTCCTTTTGCGAGCATCGACCGAATCGTTCCGTCCTTCAAAGGTTCGCACTGAGGGAATCTATTTGGAGTCTCTTGTCCATCCAATATTGGAGGCTATGACTCGTCATGTCAGCTGGCTGAGCGAGGAATGAAGCAGAGTCATCCTTGCTTTCCATGCGGACCCTGTGCGTAAGTAGGCACAGGTCCGCAAGTGGCTCGTGGCGTCATGCCGAGATCACTAACGAACCGTGCCTTATTCGTAATCATTCTCGTGCTCCGGCTATTAAAGCTTGAAAAGCCAAGCGAATATCTCATGTGGCACGTGCATGCTCGCTTTCAAAAAGACCGCAGGAAATTAACGAGAACAAGATGGCCCGACAGTTCCGGGTTCTGGCAGTTGTGGCATCAGATGCGTTCGCTGCGAGACTACGCCTGCTACACCTCAAACGTTGGCGAGGTTGCAAGGTCCAACTCGTGAAGAAACCCCTGAGGCACGGTTAGCGGAGAATTCGAATGCATTCCTGCGCTGGCCCCCACGATGGCCAACATTCTGTATATGCTGAACATTTCCACACATATACAGGGAGTACGTGACTCCTGAATGAGCAGCTATGGCAAACCCTCTGGCAGGTCTGACCCCAACAGAGCTGGCTCAAACGCCAGCTCTGATGCCTCCGGCGGGGGTTGTGTCCAATTTCATCAACCCCTCAGGTACTCTGGAGGGCGTCGCGAATGCGACAATGGCAATCTGTTTTACGTTCACAACGATATTCGTGCTGGTGCGACTGCTGACGAAGTATTGCGTTGATCGAGCTTTTCAGTGGGAAGACTGTTAGTATTATGCAAATTTGCCCGAGCTCAAAATAGGGGAGAAAGCTGACTTGTTTTCAGGGTGTTGTTTGGTAGCTTGGGTAGGATGATGCGCCACCCAGCAAGCGATCTTTCGATTGATGTGAATACAGATGGGTATCCTTGCTTTTGGCAGTGTCATATTAGATGCGCAATCCCAAGGAGCTGGACGTCACCAATGGGATGTGAATGTGATCAATGTTCTTAAAGTCGCTAGGGTAGGCTCCCAATCTCGAGAAACAGGCGTGTATAGTCTAACAGTATCTCTAATTTAGACCTCAAATGTCGGCTCGATCATATACGGGCCCATCATCGCCATCGCAAAGCTTGCCATCCTTCTACAATACAAAAGAATTTTCGTGGCACACAAGCGCAACTTCGTCTTCTACGGCGTCCACGTACTCATCTGGACTAACCTGCTCTTTTACTTCATCGAGACATTTTTGGAGATCTTCGCATGCACGCCACGAGAGAAGATCTGGAATCCATTGACTCCAGGCCACTGCATCAGTATTGAGAACAATTATATTGCTATTGGGGCATGGAACGTTCTTTCCGATTTCTTGATATTGATTCTTCCTATGGTAGCGATCTCGAAATTGCAGATGGCGAACACGAGGAAGATCGGTGTTGCGGCTGTGTTCGCTACTGGTCTATTGTAAGTCATGAGGAGAATCACTTACGAGGGATATATGAAATCCGGAGTCAATGTACTGACTGCAAGCAGCGCTTGTGTCGCCAGTGTCGTGCGCCTGGCCTACACTGTCGACTTGCTTTACACCTCCGACGAGACATACTCGATCATCAAAGTCGGGCTATGGAAGTGAGTGTCTCTGTGCCTCTACCCAACCCGATCCGCTCCCTGACGATACTGACAATGTGTACAGCGTGGGCGAACTCACAACCATAATCCTCTGCGCCTGCTTTCCCATCATGCCCAAATTCATCCAATGGATCACCGGCAAAACCAAAGACAAGTCTACCTACCACCCAGCCGCTTACGGCAACAATTACGGCCTCAAAGGTCACAACAGCAAACGTAACAATCACTTCTCGGATCCAAGGGCCTCAAACAATACAACCCCCTGGCTGGACTCAGAAGACCATGAGATTGGCCTCATGGGCAAGACCAAGGGCAACTACCATAATCTGGATGTGGGACAGAGTTACCTTGCAAAACCTGGGCCTATCAGCAAGGTGGAGCCGGTTGCGAGGGTCAAAGGTGGGGCGTCGGAGAATAGTATCTGGAAGACGAATACTGTGAGGGTGGATAGTTCGTTGGATTCGGAGAGGGGAGGGCATGATTTTGTATGATTTGATGTCTCTATGGGCTTGGTTTCGATGTTCCTTTTTGGCATTGCCATGGGGGTTTGGTAATTATGGGCAGGTTTGTATCATACCGGCATGGTCACAGGAGTAAATATATCCATCCATCTAATACCTTCATCGAGTAAGTCCATCAAATCGCGCTCTTCGGACGCAATATAATGACAATATTGATGATAAAAATATACAGGCACACCTACCTACCCTGAACACCCTGCACCGGAAATTCCACCCCCGGAAACCCATCCATCTCCCGAGGCCCAAAAAACCGGGGGGGGGGGGGGTTTGTTTGGTGCGATAACCTCGCATATGCCGCCGCTCGTACTGCTACCCCAACGGCGCAATCTACGGTACCGTAAACCCGGCGAGAAGGCCGGCCCAGCACCGCGAATTTTTGTCCCCAACCCCATAAAGTACGAAACCGACGACCACACACCCGACCCAAATCTCCCTCACCCCCAAGATCCCGACCCGTTTTTTCACCCTCAAAGTCTCGACCCGGTGCCCTTTTTTTTTTATTCTTTTTTGCACCTATGGGAAAGAAGGGGGGGGGAGAGAGATGGGGGGGGGAGTGTGTGTGTGGCACCCAAATCGCAAATCGCAAATCGCAACCACCCCCCCTTCCCCCTCCCCCCGGATAACAAGGTAACAAACAGATAACGAACGGGCTGGCTGGCTGGCGACTTCCCTCCCCCCCCCCCCCCCCCCCCACCTCTCCCCCACCATCTAGCCTCCTGCTGTGCCCTGCACACACCCCGAGCTTTTTCTAATCCGCCTTAAGGTATGTATTCCCAGTCCGTAATGGGGGGTACATAATGTAGGGTGGGTAAGGTAAGGTATATGTAGGTAGGGGTGGGTAGTCATATTATGTAGGGGTGGGTACATTAGTCCCATTTCCAACTTTTTTCACCCAACGCGCCGGCACTGGGATACGGATGGAGGGCGGCGCGGGGGGTTTTCTCTTTGTGCATGTCATGCGTGATGATGTCGTGGTGGGTGGTGGTGTGTCGTGGTGGCCCGAAGTTTGGGTTTTGGGGGGGGTAGGTGCGTGGGTGTGAAGGATAGGTGAGTGGGGTAGTGGGGTTGGTGGTGTGCTAATTAGGGGTAGGGGGGTTGGATTGGGGAGACGGGGTTGGGGGATGGATGGGTTAGGGAGGGAGGGGAGAGCCGGGCTGTTGGTGGTTTTTTGGCTTGTAGAGTAGGTAGGTTGATGATTGTGGGAGTTGTGTTTGGAGAGGGAGGTTGGATTGACTATTTTTCTTTTCTCTCGCTTTGTATATACAGGTATACTTGTGAGATTCACGCTGGGTTAGCATAGAGTTAGTCGGCGTCTGTGTTGCCAGTAGTATATGATTCGGACTGATATTTATCCTGCGAACCCCAGTCCCATTGCCCCATCTCCGTTTCTTGTGCTGCGTTGGATCTCACACAAAAATGTACACAACGCTCCTCGCCTCCGCCGCCCTCCTCACAACCCTCTACACCCTCTACGGCCTCATCTACCGCCTCTACTTCTCCCCGCTGGCCAAATACCCAGGCCCCAGACTCGCGGCCGCGACGAGGTGGTATGAATTCTACTACGATGTGGTGAAGAGGAATAGGTTCAGTTGGCAGATTCAGAAGATGCATGATCACTACGGTAGGACACCTTTTCCACATGCTTTTGCTACTTCCTTTCGGCATTCTCATGCAGGCAGAGGAGAGATGATCATACGGGCTCGCTAACCATTCCCTCAGGACCGATTATAAGGATCAGTCCGGAAGAGCTCCACATCCGCGATCCAGAATGGTACGACGAGCTTATGACTACTTCGATCCGGCCACGTGACAAGAGCGAGGCGTTCGCTGGTCGGTCAGGCAGGGATTCTATTTTTGGTACTGTGCAGCATGATCACCATCGCGTGCGTCGGGGAGCGCTCAATCCTTTCTTCAGCAAGAAGAGTATAAGCGCTATTGAGCCGTTGATACAGAATAAAGTCGATTTACTGTGCACGGCGTTAGGGGAGTATGCGCCGGGCGGGAGTGATGAGAAAAGGGCGGGAAAGGAAATTGAGCTGGGACTGGCATATATGAGTTTGACGCTGGACATCATATCTCATTATGCGTTTGGGAAGAGTTATGGGTTACTGGATCTGCCAGGGTTCAGTCAGCTGTGGAAGGATGTGGTTGAGAATGTGATGGAGTCGTTCGCTCTCGTTCGAAACTTACCTTGGCTTCCGGAAGTGCTGAAGAAGTTGCCAATGCCGATTACCAAAATGATAGACACGGGCATGGCATTCTACCTGCAAATGGAAGCGGAAACGAGGGTCGAAGTTGTCAAAATTGTGGAGGGCAAGAAGAAGAAAAGCGAGAAAGACATTGAGGACTCAACGACCGCTCATAAAAACATTTTCGAGGAGTTGTATGATAGTAATCTACCGCCACAGGAGAAAACGATTGACAGGTTGAATGAGGAAGGATTTGCGTTGATTCTGGCTGGAGCTGATACAAGCAGTGCAACGCTGTCGCAGCTCTCATATCATCTTCTAGCGAATCCGGATATTCTAAAGACTTTGAAGGAGGAGTTGAAGGGAGCGATGCCGGATACGCAGGTCCCAATGCCGTCGCAGGAGTTGGAGAATTTGCCGTTTTTGGTGAGTCCGCCTCTTCGGCTTTGTGTTATGAGGATGGAGTGGATGCTGATGAGAAGCAGAGAGCTTGCATCACGGAAGGTCTGCGTGTCAATGCTATTGCGACATCTCGCTCCGTCCGCGCGGCGCCGAATGAGACATTACGCTACAAAGATTGGGTCATCGAGCCCGGAACGCCCGTGGGAATGAACACGCATTTCACGCATCTGAGCTCTGAAATCTTCCCGGAGGCGACAAAGTTCGATCCCTATCGCTGGCTGAAGGCTGAGAAGGAGGGTACGAAGGCGGAATTGGAGAAGTATTTCAATCCATTTGGAAAAGGGTCGAGGAATTGTGTTGGGCTCAAGTGCGCATCCTCATCTCCGTTCACTTCTTCCTTTTCCTTCTTCTTCTTCTTCTTTGTCAATCGGATTCTTAGAGTGTAAGGGCTGACGTTCTGTTGTCGGATGTAGTCTTGCAAACGCAGAGGTGTATATGACGATTGCGAATGTCTTTCGAAGACTGGAAATGGAACTGTTTGAGACGGAGAGGGATGATGTGACAATCGTCTGCGATGCATTCATTGGTCATCCCAAGAAGGAGAGCAAAGGTGTTAGGGTGAAGGTGTTGAGAAAATGGGATAGGACCTGAAGGATCAGGTGCAGTTTGCACGCGATTTGTGCTGGCTGACTTTTATAGATGTCCCTGTGATGAGACATAAGTAGATACTGTTCTACCACCTCCAGATCCCTAGAACCCTTTCCAGTATGGTCATTCGAGGGCTAGTCTCCCTCCGCGTGCGGTCTTTGTACGGTTCCTTGTATAATTCGGGCAAAGAGGAAAGGTGTTGTTGCAGCATGTATGGACTAGGACTACTGAGTCCATAAAAGCTCAAGATCGTTCCTTCCCTCCATTGTCGCCTAAGCGGCCAATCCTAGCCAAGTTGATCTTCATTTTTTTCCGCTCTTACTTTCTCCGTCGGCCTGGCCAACGTAAGCTCGACCTTCAGCCCACGCAGATGTTGTTCGGATCCTGAAGCGCTATGCTCTTTGTTTGTTCATCTTCCTTGGTATCCCCTCGTTTCACCAACGGTTTGTTTACTCGTAAGAATCCCAAGTCTTCCTTGCCTTTGTCATGGCCTCTGGCTCTGCTTATCCCTCGCTTTGGTTGCAACCCCACTGCTTTCCATCTTTTTCTAGCCCTGGTGCTCTGGATCTCAGTCCTCGCAGGAAAGTGTCGGTTGAGTCTGGACCCCAGGACTCGTAAGAGAGTCTTTGTTGATAAGACATTTGGGATGTGCTGCACATCAGAGGCAATCTGCGGACAAGGGAAAGAAGGAGACTAGGTGTGAGATAGGTGGAAGAAGGGAGAGATGAGAAAGATATTCTTGAAATGAAGAGGTCAGAATAGAGTTGATATTTTGGCTTACTGCGGGCATGTTTCAACACACGGTACCACTACTGGTGACCCAATATTTAAATAACCTTCACAATCCACACTCCGAGGGGAATCACGGAAATCGCGGGTATCAGGGATACGCTTTGACTTACATAAGGAATCTTAGCTTCCCCGCTTTCCCCCCCCCCCCCTTGGTGCTTCCTCGGCCAAATTCCACTCGTTCCGAACTTCCGATGGCTGCCCCGAGAGCCAGGTGGGCTTACTCCTGCAGGACTCACTCGGCTGACCTGGGGAAAGCGGGCTGAAAAGTACTGAGAAAAAGGATACTCTAGCGCTTATAGAAAAGGTTCGCTTTGACATCTCAACGGCCTGGTGAACCTTGGATTAAGAAAGAAAGAAAGAGAGAAAATTCAGCCTGCCCGTCCGCACCGTTCAACCTTTTTCAATACATATAAAAATGTTTTGTGATATGTTGGAAAAGTAAGGGAAAGCAATTGCTATCTGAGACATCTATCCACCAGCACAGCACACCTTTTCAAACCGGTTTCCGGGAGATGAGAGGAGCCTGCATGAACACACCACACCCTGCACCTCGGAGACGTTTCGCCAAGTCTCCCCAACCAATGCACTGTAGATCATGCAAAAGGAAATTGGAGAAATTGACGTTGTACAGAGCATCCAAATGCTCTTATCCATCTTCACCATCCTCTGACTCCACTGGGACTGGCGACAAGGTGAACCAATGTGGTTTCCAGTGATACGACAATTGCTTGCCGAAATACGATCCCCAAACATCTGTCCGAAATGTAAACGATTACCTTCTTCAAACCATTCGTCGAGGGCAACTATCTTTCCGAGCTAAGATACACAACCATTACTTGCAATATGACTTCTTCCTCTTACCTTCTGTATCAAACATCCTCACAGTCAATCAAGCGACACCCACCCACAATCGTGACAAGAAACGATATCAACATGCCCGGCTTCTCCCAGAAGCCGTTTGACCCATTCACGCAGAATGACACAACATCACCAACTGGCTTCCAGCCACCCCAGCCAACAAGACGGCCCCCGCCAGTACCTCTGCAACAGCCTGGCATGAGCATCTCAAGCTTTTCGCAGAGGCCACTTGAGATGCCCACCCCAATTGACATGGAATCACCTGCAATCTCCCAAACCAGTAGCAGAAACAACAGTGATCCCATGCGAGAACGCAACAATTCGGTGGCACAAAGCAGTGCTGGGACTAATGTATCCAGTGAGGCCCGTGGCAAAAGCCCGAATATCTTTGCTTCTTTCCTGGGTAGGACGCCCCGAATGACCAAGAGTAGGCCATGCCAGTTCTTTTTCATGCCATTGAGATGCATGCTAAAGAAGCTATAGATGGAAAGCAGCAAAAGAAACGTGGGCCCAAGACCGACTCCAAGCCGGCGTTGAACTCGAAGCAAGAGAAGAATCGACAAGCCCAAAGGTATGCTTTCCCTGTTATTTGTCATGTATTTTTTGCATCGAGGTTTTTTTGGAGTCTTGGCAACAAATCTTCCAAACACTCAGTCTGCCAGCATCGAGGAAATCACATTCCTTCCGACGTCAACTCCTCACTTCTTCAACGCTGATCGTGCATACAGAAATCATCGGGAGAGGGTTGCAGCATACACCATGACGGTCGAGAAAGAAGCTAATAGGGCTCGAGACGCTCTGAGGCTGACGGAACATGCTCTTTCGTTGGCCAACAACGAGAACTCTGCCTTGGCAGAAGAGAACCGCAAACTCACACACCAGAGTGGTGTCTTGACGCAGCTCCTACGAGTCAACAACATCGGGGTCCCCAATTTTAGCACGACTCCGCTCTCCTCTAACGGCCAGCAAGGGTCCGCACGTATCGATGGTAGCCGTGCCGCCACCGAGGCGCCCCGTCCCTCGAACCAACAGCGAGAATCACCATACGGCGGCCACCCCAACAGCTCACAGAATGCTCTTGGAGGCTTCAGTCCAAACGGCCGTGGCTTGTCTCCAGCGTCCCCAGCTTATCCTTATGTCCATGGTGGAATCATGCAAGACGTCGGCGCTCCTCAGAATGGCTTCTCGGGAGGCAGCCACACGTCACCGTCGTCTGGCAAAAACCCTTACGCGCAGGAGTTCCCCAGCAGTCAAGTTAACTACGCTAATGAGTCTGCTTTTGCTGGAACACCTTACGCCAATACCAATTATGATAGTCCTTACGCAAGCACGAACCACAATGGCAGTCAGACCCATGTACCGGCCAATCAGTTTGAAGCTCAATCGATGCCGCAACAGAACCATGCATTCACTCAAGGTCACGCGCATGCTACACCAGCTCTGGCGACTCAGACGTCCTACGGCAACGCTTCGAGTCCTTATGCGAATCCAAATTACCACAGCAGTCCTGAGGATTCGCAAGTCAACCAATTCCAAGTCCAGTCAATGCAGATGCCGCCTCCAAATGGAATTAGCGACTATCAGACATACCCTGCAATGAACATTACAATCCAGAGCCCCTACTTCAACGATTCCTCCGACCAGCAGCCACCAATTCCTGATGTCGCTCCCCACGGGACAATCACGTTCACCAATGTCTCGAAGTACGAGGTGTCTCATCCAGCTGAGGTTGCCCAATGGCGCCTCCTCACGCCCGATATAGAGGAGCCAGAGATGACACGCGAGTTCGCCATTCCTTTCATCCTCGAGTACGTATCCCCCAAATCCACCCTGCTGTCCAGCCCAACTCGTTACCTTCCCAATACCTGAACCCTGCTGACCACGCGTACAATAGCCTCGAAGCGGGATGCCGTGACCACGTCGCTTTCATGATCAACCGCTCCAATGAAGCCGCAGCCAATTCCAACCCTACATCTCATGAGGAGTACAATCACAATGGCCACGGTCTCATGGTATCCTCGACGCACTGGCATTCCTTAGTGAATAATGGGAGCGACCCCTTACTCCCCACCGCGCCTGCCATGGATCAATCCGACCTGCACTTCATCGAATCCCTCATCAACAGCGCCGATCAGATCCCGCTCCGTGGCGAGATGACACCCGTGCAGGCGTGGACTTGGATGAAGCAGCAGCGTGGCCGCGCCGATTGGCTGTGCAACGAGGACTGGGAGAAGCTGTGGAAGATTCTAAAGGATGCTTGTCGATGCTACGGGTTCGGAGCTGTGGTAGAGAAATATGAAGTGGAGAATGCGATGCATGAGGTTTACTGCGCGAGGCATCCGGAGATGAATAGGGAATGGGATTAAGAAAAGGGGCTCCGAGTCAACACGGCTGGATGATACCCCCGTTCTGTGCAATCAAATATGTATTACGACCGTTTCCATGTTTACGACTCTTCAATTCTTGAATGGTACCGCCTCTTGTCAGTGTGGCAAGGACGATTCAGCAGGAGATGGCCACGGGTACGCCTTTTTATCTACGATTGTTCGATTCTTCATTGAGAACACTCCTCGTCAGCACAAACATTCAGCAAAAAAGGCCATTGGTGCGTCCCCGTTACAATTCTTCGATTATTCGATAGAACCGGCTCTTGTCCGCACAGCAAGGACAATTGATTAGGATATGGCCACGGGTGCGCTCTTGTTATCTACGATTCTTCAGTTCTTGAATGGTACCGCCTCTTGCCAAGACGGCAAGAAAATTTCAGCAGGAAATGGTCATGGGTACGCCCGTTTAAGCTAGGAAACCTCTTGACCAGAATGGTTACCTGTTCATAGCATGCATAGATAGATAGATTCATACCGATCACACGTAGCCGTGTCCTGGACGGGACTCCTGGAGACCTGATTTTGTGCTACTCCTTTCCACAAACCCTGCACCGGACAGGTTGCAACCTACCGCCAAGAAGCCATGCACTCTTCATATTGAATGGGTGTTCTCTCCTAGAACACCTGGGCGTAGGCCACGTACAGATTGGTGGATTCTATGCCACCTTGGTCATATCTATACATATTGTATCATACACGTACTGATCTTCAACGCAGGACAGCACAGGCTTCCAATGAAACATGAACGTGATATCTATGACTTTGACTTTCTCACCTTGGGGGAAGAAGCAGGTGGAATCAATGCCACCGTTGCCACCCTCTTTCTTTCACAATAACTCGAAAACCGGCTTCAATGAGCTCGAAATGGATGATGGCGCGGGCACGCTTGTCCTCTATCTGCAGGTCCCATCCCATCTCGCCTGTAAGGCACCAAAAATCTCCATCGATCTACACCCACCACCAAGGCACCATTGATGATGGAGATGTGGAGTTCGACGTCACTGCTTAAGACATGAAGGAGTATAAGATGGAGCTCTGCACGCAGGTTATGCCTGCTTTTCAACAGCAAAGACCGCTTTCAAGTACAAGACTCTCGTCTCGCGTGACAGAACGAAAATGCATCTCTTACCCTCCTTCCTCGCCCTCCTGGCCTCCTCTACTCTCTTAGCGTCAGCGACCCCAAGGTATTCAGACCTCCGTCAACGAGTTGATGCATCACACACCCCTATTGCCGCCAATCAAACCATCACCAATCAGACCACCTGCGACAAAGAGCAATACACATACCAAGAGCTCGCTGGCTACGGCTTCGTGGCCTCCAATGCCACAGACAAGTACGGCGATACCCTGGGCGGCTATGGTAGTGCCATCGCTATTGATCGAAGCTCATGGAAGAAGATGAAGAATGGGAGCTATACGGGGTTGTTGTGGGCCATCCCGGACAGGGGTTGGTACGTTGTGGGGAGCCTTTTCGCGCAACTTGAAGGAGTACTGACAGGAGACGTAGGAACACGGAAGGAACTCTCAATTACCAGAACCGCGTCCACAAATTCGCCATCACCCTGACGCCCAAGCCTAACGCTACCCTTGCAAATCCATCTGGACCAAACCTCCAATTCACCTACGAGGACACCATCCTCTTCACCGGTCCCGATGGCACCCCGACAACCGGCCTTGACGCCGACGTCCTTGGGTCGATCACATATCCCGGCTTCCCAATCCTGCCCGTTGCTACCTTTACAGGTGATGGGTTTGGCGGCCCTGGTCCCGGCGGGAGACATATTCCCATTGACAGCGAAGGCCTTGCGCTCGCTTCCGATGGCGGGTTCTGGGTGTCGGATGAATACGGGCCGTATATATACCATTTCTCAGCACAAGGGCGTATGACACAAGCCATTATGCCTCCGGCCGCGTACATACCGCATCGCAATGGCAGTATAAGCTTCAGTGCTGACTCACCACCGATCTACAACATCAATGAGACCATCATACCAGCCAACACTGTGACGGGAAGAGATAACAACCAAGGACTGGAAGGATTAACCATATCGAGTGATGGGAAGACGCTGTATGCGCTTATGCAATCAGCTCTCGACCAAGAAGGCGGACCTAGCAACCCATACCGTCTCCAGGCGAGACTGCTCGAATACGACATTTCCGACTCCAGCAACCCAGAGTACAAAGCTGAGTACGTTGTTACTTTGCCACTCTATACTGATCCAACCGCCAAAGCTTCAAAGGCAACCAAAGTGGCTGCACAGTCCGAGATCCACTCCCTGGGCAACGATCAATTCCTTGTCCTTGCGCGCGACTCAGGCGCTGGACACGGGCAGTCTTCATCTCTTAGCGTCTACCGCCACGCAGATATCTTTGACATCTCATCTTCCGGTGAAGCCACGGATATCGAATCTGCAGCGAACGACGCAACGAACGGCAGCATCGCCTCAAGCACGGGCGTGCTCGATGCGGGCATCAAAGCAGCGGAGTATTGTACCTTTTTGGATTACAACGTTAATGCCCAGCTTGGTCGTTTCGGACTGCATAATGGAGGAGCGCAAGATGCGACCCTGCTTAATGAGAAATGGGAGAGTCTGGCGACGGTGCCTGTTGATGGAAAAGATGGGCAGGATGGGGAGTGGTTCTTGTTTAGTTTGAGTGACAACGACTTTATTACTCAGGATGGTACGTGTTTTTGCCTTTTTCACCCACCTGGTTTTCTTTCTCATCAAGGGGACGTTTGGATCAAGAGAAAGTAGACTGGCTTCGATGAGATGGCTGACTATGTACCTAGGCCACCTCAACTTCGGCAAATATGCCTACAAAGACGCTAGCGGCTACGATCTCGACAACCAAGCGCTCGTCTTCCAAATCCAAGTGCCAAAGAACGCGAGTCCGTCATGAGGAGGTTGCCCATCCAACTTGGCCAAAATTGTATACCAAGGCGCACAAGTCCAGGAGAACTATAGCTTGTAAAACACCATTTGAAGCCACATTCATTCATTCACATGTTACCTTCATCCCAATCCAATTAATTTCCATCTTTCCATTTCACATTCTCCTATCTAGTCTAACATAGCTGCCAACATCACCTCGTAATACAAACCATACACATCAATTCCCTGAAAACTCACCCCTCTATCCCAAGACAGGTCACATATAACCCCAGACACGGTTCTCAAAGCCCGAACGCCACGATAATGTTACGACGCTCCCTTCCGATTTCGCCACAAACCCTCATGCTAACAATGCACTTCTTGCCCTGCTAGCTCACCGGAGAGTTTGCGGGGGGGGGGCAAATTCATCGGGTTGTATGATGACGAGGGAGAGGAATTGCAAACGTGCTCGGCGGCTCACTCACTCACCCGCCCAGTACAGATCGCAGTTGTTGTTGTTGTTTTCTTTTGCTGTATGCATAGTTATCCTTATCTAGGCTCCATCCCATTCCATGCCATGCCATTCCATTCACTGGATCGATATCGGTGTACGTCCTACGTGCCCGTGTACACACACATACATGAAAAGTCCATCCCCCGTCTCATTCTTTCTTTCTTCCTTCCTTCCTGGCCCCCGACAACGCACTCTGGTTCTAGATGGATTTGGATTTCGACTTTCGACTTTCCCTCGCACCACGTGTGGTTATCGGGTCGACACTCCACTCCACTCCATAGGCGGGGTATTGGTTCTGGGTTTATCTGATCGTTGGGGTTTAATGTTTTTGTTGGGTGCGGCGTGTGGTTGGTTGGCTAGATGGGTGGACTGGCCGGGGGGGGGGAGGGGGTTTGTGGATGGGTGGAGGTTGGGTTGAGGTGGTGGGTGGAAGTAGGAGTGGGGTGGGGGGCGGTGGGTGGTGGACTTTACCGGGGGAGGGCAAGGGGGAAAGGTGTTGGTGGAGGGGTTGGTTTGAAGAAAGGGTGGATAGATCGGGATGAGAATGGAGTAGAAATGAGACTGACCCTTCATCGTTTGAAGCCATGTACATACCCATCGCCCGCTTTGACACATCTTCTCCTTACCACCCACCGCTCTCCAGGACCGAAAATCCGTCTTTCCCGGCGGATGATCCTTTGCAAGACTTGTTCTTTCGACGCCACGTTTCGCCAGGGCGGCACGACCGTCTTCTCTTCCGGACGAATACCACAGCGAGTGTCGGACCGCCCGTGGACGGTGGGGACATGGCGATGTCAGGACACGAGTTGGGGAATTATCATGGAAGGAAGGGGGCGGGGGCTTGATGATTTCGGTCTGTTTGCCGCTACGGGCGGTTGGGAGAGCTTGGGGTGGTGACTGAGGGATATGTTGGGGAGTTGTGAATGCGCGGGGTTTTGTGCGTACTGGATAAGTGGGACGGATGAAGAGAGGGAGGTTTTTTTCTCAAAGGATTGGAGTGAGGGGATGTGTAGAGCAGCTGGGGTAGAGTATGCGTCATGGAGAACAGCAGTCGGTAAGAGAGGAGGGGGAACAGGGGGGGAGCGTGGTTTGAGCGAGTACTCGAATGGGATTCCAGGTCAAGTTTATCATAACGCAGCATCCTATCCATTCCTCGGACGACTTGTCCTACCCAGATTCCCATGGGTTGGTGAAGCAACCCCGCAGCGTGAAAAGCTCACTGCTGTTCGAGTGCTCGTCAGCAGGTGCTCGCAGGACTTCCATGGGCGACATCTAGCCATACCGTCCACACACGTATCCTCCTACCCAAGCTTTGCAGCTAGACACCACCCAACCTTTCCCGCCTCTCCGCTAGTGTAGTATAGATCTCAACCGGCGCGTGTAGTGCCTGATGCTCCGTCTTGCTGCAGTACGTGACATGATTCACCTCGCACACGCCCTCATCTCCTCCCTTGTGCTTCTCGCAAAATCGGTTGTTGCAGAGCAAGCATATTTTAGAAGGTCCGTCTTGCTTGTGCTGAGGTTTGCCCTCACGCATCCGGCGGCACCTGTAGCAGTCCATCGTGTTTTTCCGGGTCCTCGCTGTTCGAGCAGGGCGAGGTAGCGAGATGATTGTACCTTGGCTAGTGTAAGTATGGTGTGGTCGTGTCGGATGTCTGGATGGCGACGGGTAGAAGGCAGACTTTGGAAGATGGGGGAAGCGGGGATGTGCTGTCAGATGCATGACCAAGCCCGCAGAGGGCAGGTGCTTTTTTAGGCTAGCTTGTGTGTCTCGACCAGCAAAAGGCAGCCCTGTAAGTCCCTGCAGAGGTTTGAGAGGACAACAATGCAGCAATTGGAGTCCTTTCCTTGCCATCCTCGGCCACACCTCGCAATATTTGCATCCGTCCAGCCAGTCATGACCCGTGGTAGTCAGCACCACGCAGGGAACAGCGCGTCGGTGCGCGCCAAGCGTTGGAGCTAAACTGCCCTAGCGTCTTTCGTATTCGAAAGATTGACTTGATCCAGTCTCGCGAGATGAGCCTTGAGAGAAGTAGATATCGAAGGGGAGCCTGAATGACTCCATCCTGCAGATTAAATGGGCCGGCACTGTGCGTGTTGGGTTCGGCCGTGCATGAAGGTGGGGAGTCGGTGGGGTCGAGGTAAGGACATTCCTGAGTACTCAAGATAAAGGCAAGGTTCGTCTGCAGTACCTGTCGTCCATCGGCTCGTCAAGCCTTCCAAAGAGATAGCAGTACTATTTCGTTCAAGCCGTGGATTGCTTTTGCAGCAAGGAGGAGTCAAGATCTCCGGAGATACCCTTGTCGGTAGCTATGTCATGTAAAGGCAGCGCCAGCTTGGCCTCAAGTCCATCTTCGGGGTACCTGGAGGTAATTCGTCTCACATGATTCTTCGCGTCAAAGGATTTGACCATGCTTCAGACTATGAACTCGCCCTTCTCGACCTCATCCCTAAAGCTGGTCTTGAGTGGAAGGGAAGCCCCAACGACTTGAATGCTGCATATGCTGCAGACGGCTATTCTCGCATTAGCAACGGCATCGGCGCCCTCGTGACAACATACGGTCCTGGCGAGCGCTCTGCCCTTTGTAGCATTGCTGGAGCTTATTGCGAATATGTGCCAGTGTTGCATATCGTAGGTTATCCGTCCGTGGAGACCATGAAGGCTCACAAGATCATGCATCACTCCCTTGGTAGGCTTTCTCTGACCTATTACGGCATGACCTGAACCCATACTTTTCATCTTGAACAATGGCGGATACACGATTGAACGCATCATCCACCGCCCGCGCGAGGATTATAACCACGTTCCGATGTGGAAGTATGGTGAATTGCTCGATGCGTTCGAAGCAGGGTACAAGAACAAGGCGTACCAGGTGCGAACATGCAAGGAATGGGACGATCTTTTGAGGGAAAAGACTCTTAACGAAGCCTCGTGTGCCCAGGTAAGTCCCCGCAATACCTTACACGTTGAGGCACTCTTGTACTGTTATGGTTTTGATGTGCTAAGACGCTGTTTGTTAGATCATAGAGATATTTCTGGATGAGTCAGATGCCCCAGAAGCATTGAAGGCGCTTGGTAAAATGATTGACCAGAAGAACGCTAAGAAATAAAGGCTTGGCGCGAGAAATGGCCATATTCTCATAGACAAGACAGAACGCGCAATTCATGTCTATTCTACCAACTTCTTCCACTAGCATTTAGGCATTTTGTCAGTGTTTGCTAGTGAAGCTGGTATATATATGTAACATGCATCTGCGTTATGCGCCTCGAAGAGCTGGTGTTGGACTCTATACTGGTTGATGAGCAACAGCGATATCCTCGGGATACTCAGGCCGGTATGATTCCGAGCTCATAGAAGTTGTCACCAAGAAATTCCGGGAAGCAAGACTGTGCTTTCCATTCTTGAAGAGTTGCATGGAGCTCCTCGAGATTAGCTGTGGTCCAAGAGTATACTGGCCAATCTCACAGTTTTGATTCCTTGCATCAAGCCAGCCCAAGCCTGCCTGCAACAACCACATGTGAGTCAGCGAAGTTTTCCAAGCCTCCAATATCGATCCAATCTTTGGGAGACCTACCAACACGGCATTTGCCAAGAAAGCTGAGCAGATGCTGCAAGCACAGCGTCGGAATTCTTTTGGACGAGCGTCCCAACAGCCTCACCAAGCTGAACGCATTGCCTCGATGATCGAGTGCTATTCGGTGCAAGGCAGCCGATTTGCAGATGCTGGCGAGATGAGTAGCCGAGAGTGCAACCAATGATTGCATTGCGTAGTCATGTCTTGTAGCGAGTGACACAAAGCTGGTATTCATTGTGTAAGGTCGCCCCAATTCGCAGTCAACATAGGTAAAGGGCAGCGTACTCTGACATCTTGTGCGCCCAAGTAGTGAAACTCGCAGATTTGGAAAGCTCGAGGTTTTCCGACATGGTGCACAGATGGAACAGTAGGCGGCATTCTTCGGTTGAGAGGTCGTCAGGATTTGGCGGAGCAGTGACCTGCATGTGAGGGAAGGGAAATCTTTTCGTCTGCTGCCAATCATATGTGCCGACTTCAATTCAAATCGGCCAAGTGAACTCTCCAATAGTCGATACCGGTGAGGCATTTTCTGCAGCAGCAAGATTATCCATGTAGGCGCATCTTAGACCACGCTTCGTGCAATTGCGGCTAGTAGAACCAATCAAAAATAGACACGGGAGCTCGAAGAGGAAGAACGCGGACCACTGAGGAAAGTATTCATCGCAGCGAACCTTGCGATTCTTGCAAGTTTGGCAGCCTTTCCTGGACTTCGTGTGGGCCTTGCGGGTAGAAGAAGACATGATCCAGACAATAGAGTTCAAGTTGGTAACACCTGGACTGCAGAATGCTGGAGGTCTTGAGGATAGGTTCAGGCAAAACCCTCACCTTGGTGGGGTCATAGAGCGTGCTAATCGCTACTAGAGGTTCAAATTGCTGCTGACAGTGCAGCCATTCCGCCCGGCACCCCTCAAGGTAGCGGGTTGTGATACAGCCTTGAAGTATCTTCCGATCCTATCATCCGTTTCACCAGAGGTAGGTTCGGCGCGTAGTCAAGCATGAGTGTAGTCTTCAAAATCTCCAACTCAACAGTCTTCCAGACCGTCTTCACAAGATCGCTATCAGTGTTTTGTTTATAGATGGCAGCTATTGGGCTTGGTGCTTCATGCGAGAGATGGCTGCAAGAATCGATTGATCTGACGGTTTCCAACGCCGTTACCTGTATGCCCATGCCTCGATCTCGTAGTGTAGCGGTCAAGGACTAAGCCCGAGAATCGGAGAGAGCATCTGACTCGGACTATGCACAGCGTGCTGACTGCTAGTTCTTCGATGCAGCTCTTCTGGTACATCATCATCTCTGCTTAAGAGAGAGTCCTAGGCTGGTGGAGTTCCTTGAATGTCTTCTCTTTTTCCATTGGCTCGGGATACCATTGACGTAGACTCCAAAGGAGACCGACAGAGACGACGGCTTCAACAAGACTTGCAGCTAGGTTCTCTGCCTTCGGCGAATTCCCGGTTCGAAGGAAGGACTTCTGGAGTCTGTTCCAGAATGACATGTTGATTTGGCGGGTCCTGTCCAAAGGAAGATCACAGGAGATGGCTTGCAGAGTGTTGTCAGCGAACCTTTTGTATCGATCGGGTTGTATTGGTTTAACGGACAAGTAAATCAATTGTGACTTATCGGAACGGGATAACAGTTGTTCCGGTTTCAAAATAGGTATGTAGGCACGTAGGTACCTTTTCGTTCCTCCAGCCCTACCGCTCCAAAAACATCAATGAAGCGAGCTCAGTTGGCAAGAACCACGACTGATGATGGTCAATAATTAGCACCAACCTCGATCGTGGAGCGACCAAAATCGTGGTGCGACAGTCGCTATTGAGCACTCTCTGCCTTAGCGCAATGATGTGTAGAGACACAAACATGATCTGGATGGAGGGCGGAGAATGGAGCAACAGCGATAGGCTCCGCGAAAGATGCCATGAAAATCTGCTTTATCCCATTCAATGGACTGAACACATACTCGGCAACCATCCATCTAGCAACTGGGCTCTCCAGGATTCAACTATCGTCAAATTCCCTGTTGACAATACATTCTCTACAACCTAAAGCCATACCAGAGATTAGAGCCGTAAAAGCGACATCCCGGGGAAGAAGTGATGGGCTTTACTCGCACACTGAGCTCTTATCACATGCCGAATCGAGCAGTCTTCCTCGTGGAGCTTTGTTGTCAACCCTTCCTCAATAACGGCCAATAGCAACAGCAGTCACTCTCACATTTCTTCTCACAATCATCGTTCTCCTTCTATCAACTCTCCTTCCGCTCATAGCTCTCTTACGCCTCGCACTTGTACCGAATGATATGGAACTAACAACGGTTAAACCCACATCAGACAGCTTGAACCTCGCCCCGCTCCCCGTTTCTTTTCCCGTCCCCGTCACGGATATCAATCTCGACTGTCTGCCGCAGCCTGCGTTATTCCATCAACCTCTAAAAACAGATGTCATCAGGGTTTTTTGCCATAGCCAGATCTGACATCGAAGTCTACATTCGTTTCCAAGAGGATAGCCCGATCTTGCGCCATGAGTATGTTCTCGGCTAGGGGAAAGTGAAAATGATTTTATACTCCAGCGCCACTAATGAATCTGTTTACAGACGGCGATGTGCCTTTGTTTTTAGGGATCTCCTTGAAGATGGCAAGGGAATGCTACAGAAAAATATTTGCGCCGGGTGCTTTGGTCTAGGGCCCACCGGAGCATAAGACTCGCCACTGCGTATTGCCCCGGCGTCGTGGGAGACGTTTCCAACCGACGAGCTGGGACTGAGGTTGGTATATATATCTTGTGCCCTATTTTCCTGGGCTAGCCTCTGGCATTTACACGTGTGGCGGTATGCTGCAGGCTCTGCAATTTTGTAAAGTACGTGCATTTTTTTATGGCTTCAAAGTGATATTCACGGCGATTCTAAAACATGCTGTTGCTCCCCCGCGTGCGTTCCCATCTGCTGGCTTCCCTTGTCCCACTGTCCAACCTCTGACAAACCGAGAAAGTCATTACTTTTCTACTCTATTTCTCGAATTTTCGGTTTAATGTCAAGATTGGACTTCGCCCTTATCCGCGAGAGCTGCATGGAACACTCTCAGCATGATTGGCGGCACACCCGTAGAATTCAACGACGTCCAATTCGAAGCCCAAACATCACCAGGTGCTGGGATCATCCCCGCTGGCTGATTAGAAAAGGAATTCATGATCGTGTCAAATGGTGATCCGGATTCCCACATGAATAGACTGAGGACGGACTGCTTGGGCTGCTCCGCTGTAAGCAGATGATTGTCAGTGTTGTTACACTGTCCAGGAATGACCCCAGGACTCCTCACTGCTCGGTATCACGACCACCCCTCCAGACCCCAACGGCCCATTGAGCAGACACTTCGTCATCATGAAGTTCCCCCCAGCGTTAATCTTCGCCCAGCTTGTCCCGCCCAGAGCATTGATAGAGCCATATCCTGAAGCATAGCTCAGAAGTGCGAAGTTGCACGAGTCTAGGTTTCAGGCATTGTCAGCACGTCGACCCCATCTCTCCTCTACGATGTACTTCTCGGCCGGTCATACATACTCGATGTATAATACCTAGGTACCTGGACAACCCAACTGAGATGAGCTGCTCCCACGATGCCAATCACACCAGGCCAGGAGCCTGTTTCATCTGCTCTCATCTGCTCCTCGTCGAAAACGCGGTGGACATTGTCTTGGTAATTTGCGAACGACTCCAGGAGAGGATGGCAATCAACGATGTTCGGCGAGCCATAAGTCTGTCGGCCACAGTAATACTCTCCGGTGTTATCTGGAGAACTCACGGATATGGAACTGGTAAGAGAGACGGAGAGGAGAGAAAAAGCCCATGCTAGGCAGTGTAGCATTGTCAGGATGAATTTAAAAAGTGGGGAGACGATGTCTGATAACACACCTCGAGAGAAGAAACTCGCGCATTGCGACTTATTCGACTATCGGATGTCCATGTCAAACTTTTCGAATTCTGCCACGCGGTTTTCATATGCCGCAAACCCCAAGGACGCTGTGGGGAACGCATAAAGGATGGCGATAGGCGGCGCTTCTGACGATTAACTCGAAACTACCCATGTCACACTCCCGACAATCGCACGCCATATCGAGGTACCTGACCATCAAGATCGGTTCTTCTGCCCTACTTGTAACCACAAAAAGATAACAAGCTCTCGACGGTCTGGACTGCGCGTTGCCCCTCGGGATCCCCACCAGCAAGCGATATATTCCCGGAAGCTACGCGTGGGGTATCGTCACAGGCGCTGGCTCCTTATATGAGCATCCTATCTCATCATTCGCAATGGTCTTGAACGTTGCTCTATCGATTTCCGGCCTGTGTCAGCTATGCTCCTCTTCTCGCTCCTCCCCTCGCTCCTCCCCACCGCTCTCCTCGCTCTCTCCGCCCTCCCTCTCCCCATCCAATCCGCCTCCATCCTCTGCGCCGAAAACCTCTACGGCAAACCCCGCCTCGCCGACGCAATGACAATCGGTAACAACCTCCCCTACGTCAAAGTAGACCCCTACGACCAAATGGACGCCGCGCGCTTATTCGCCGAACCGGCATTCTTCACCCCAAAGTTCCAAGGACTGCGGAACACATGGAGATCGGCCATCGAACAATTGCCTCGGGTGTGGCGATTCCGTACGTCGCTCATCCTCTCCTCTCAACCCCCCCCCTCACTCAAGCGAGCCAGATCTCGACTGTACGGAGCTCCAGAATGCTATTTGTTGACGGAACGGGTGTGAACAGGATCCGCACGCATCGCCCTCCTCTTCTACGCCGACGCAGCCGGCCAAGTCGCCACTCCCAGCGTCAATTCGAACTGGCGTCTCATCCAAGCCGCCGCGGCTGGCGTGCTGCAGTATTGCGTCCGCGGCCAGCGGGGCGTTGGCGGCGTGTGGATCATCTCCGGTACCGTCCTCTCCCCCTTCTCTCCCAACCTCCCCATCCATTCCATCACCCGCGTCGTCAATACCCCCCCCGACCACGTCCACCCTTTTTCACGGAAACCCATCGATTTCCCACATTACCACGTGGAGGAACGACGGGGCATGCATGTGGCTGACGCACAGCTTCCCGTCTCGCCGTGGGCAGACCACACGCAGACGCCCTACCTCTCCCTCTACCTTTACGAATCAGGCTCCCCGTTCGAGGACGTGCTGAACAGATATATGATCACGGGGCTCGGGGTCAACCCGTTCAATCCGAGGGGTTTCGGCGTCGAGGGTGTGGCGCTCAATTCCTCGGGGGTGCTGGGAGCGGTGGAGGACCAGGCGGTGTTGGCGGGGGATGTTGCCGCGACGGCGGGGATAGGGGCGGCGCCGGGTCCGGCGCCGAGTGTGGTTGCGGTGTTGCGGGGGGAGTTGGGGGTTCAATGAGGATAGGCAGGGTTGTGGACGGATGTAGGAGGGAGCATGGGAGCATGGAAGGGAAAATCGATGGATAGCCTTTGATGTTAGCCGGGCAAAGGACCTCTAATGCTATTTTCTAAGCTTCGCAGACTGCAATAATTAGCCAGCACAGTACGATCTAAACACCGCCAGCCCCTTTCCTACCAAAGCCCTATCTCTTTCCTACTCCCCCAAAGCCGCAACCTTCAAATCCAAGTCCCCCTGCAAACTGCGAATTTTATCCAGCAACTTCTTCTTGAGCAAGGCATTCCCAATCGAGTCCGCCTTCGTCTGCTCCTGCCGAATCGCGGCTTCCAGATCCGCAATCTCCTCCCTCTGCCTCTGTCTCTCCTGCTGCCGTTCCAACGCATCCTCGTCGACAGACGCATCGGTCGAGTCGTCGTCTTCGTCGGAGGCTTCGTCCGCCGAGGTGGTGGCGGCACCGGGGGTGTCTGCTGCGGAAAGGGTGGGGAGGTTGGCGGAAGGAGAGGCGGGGGTGGATGTTCCGTCTTGGGTTGCTGTGTCGGGAGGTGGGGCGGAGGGGAGGGCAGCATCGCCGGATGCAGCCATGGCGGCCTCGAGTTCCATGGCTGCTTCGAGTTCTTCGGCCATGGCGTCGTGATCTGCGTCGTGACCTCCGACTGTCGTCTTGATGTATCCTTCTTGCTCATCATCGTAGTCCTCGCCCTCTGCGTCTTCTTCGTTGTCGGAGACTTCATCACTTTCTCCGTTCTCCCTGTCCCTCCTCTCACGCAATTCATTTTCATCAACAAGCTCAAGCAATGGTTCCCCATCCGCCTCCTCATCTTGCCGTAGCAAAGCTTCCACCTCCGCCTCAACCTCCATAACATCCCGCACGCTGATCCTCTTCCTGAACCGCTTCGTCCGCACTTTGTGCAATGGCGGCGTGATCCCACTAGCCCACTGCAACGTCTTCTCATCCAGCTCTCCTCTCCCATTCAGCTCCCCTTTACCGCGCGGAATAGGATACAGCAACGCATCTTCCTCCTCCTTAATCTGCCCCATCACAATAAGCATCTGGCACACATCCATACTCTTCATCCACGGCCCCCTCTTCTCCCAATTTTTCATCGCCTCAATCACGCATGGCAAATCCACCAGCACGGCCGCATAATGGCGTCCATTCACACTCACAGCAGCTCTTCGGGCATCGCTGGTTAAGAACCGCATGCGTACATCTGCCCCGCCGGCTTTCCGTCCGAAATTGCCCTCCGCAGCCGCCTTTCTTATGATGTCGCAGTCTTCGCCTGGCTGCATGCGCAGAATGAAGCCCTCAGAGATTGTGGGATCGAGTTCGCGGTCGTCGGCTTCGCTGTCGTAGCCGACACCTTTGGGTCTCTTTGGGACCTTTCCTTTGGTCTTGAGCTTTACAAGAGGAGCGACAGGGGCGCGGGTGTTGAGCTTGATTTTCTTGATGGCTGGGCCGGAGGCCAATTGAGGCTTTTCCCCGCCTGCATCGTCGTCGTCCTCGAGCTCGAGAGCGCGCTTCTTGGGGGTTGGTTTGGACTTGCGGGGGGTTTTGGCGGCGGTCTTAGAGCCGGTGGAGGCAAAGCTGGAGATAGGCTCGTTGGGGGTAATTTGCGGAGCTGGAGTATGGGAAATACTGCCGAACTTGAGCTTTAGCTTGGGAGTGCTTGTTGCTGCTGATTGAGGTGTTGGGGAGGCCTCTGGTTTGGGAACGGAGCTGCCGAATTTGAGTTTAAGAGATGGACGCTGCGACATTATGGAGTTGAGGATATGATGTTGACGGTATCAGCGAATTGTTAGAAGTAGTAGGCACTGTCAAGAAAACGCCCCATGGTGTTGTAGAGCCTGGAGGAAGGAAGTGAGTCGTAATTGAAGAATGCGGGCCAACCCTCACAAAAGCTCTAGCGATTCAAGCAAGTACGAGTAAGTAACATCCAGGTCATCTTGATCACAATTTCACCACCTCCACACCACAAATATGCTACGATAGTAGAGCTGAATCCTGCCATGGCAGCCAACAAACCTCCCACCTCAAAAGCACCGCCCACCCTCTAAACACACGACCACAACGTAACCAGCAATGTCAACCAACCCCCTCCACCCCTCCCTCCTTCGCCCCCCAATCCTCCACATCCTCCGCGCCGCCGGCTTCACCTCCACCCGCCCTTCCGTCCTCGACACCCTCGTCGATCTCGCCTCTCGTTACCTGACCATCCTCGCCTCACACACAGCCCGCCATGCCCTCCTACGACACCCGTCCCAGCCACACCAACCCCCAGACACAATCACAATCACAGACGTCCGCCTAGCCCTCCAAGACGCAGGCGCTCTCTATCCGCAATTGAGCACAATGGAGGAACAAGTCCGCGGCGAAGAGGACATGCGCGGCATTGAAGCTTTCATATCGTGGTGCACGGGGCCCAGCGCGCTGGAAATCCGGCGCATTGCTGGCTTGGCGCCTGAGCCGTCTACAGCCACGGTTGACCTGAGTGCGAATGCAGCATTGGCGGGGAAAGCTGCGGCCGAGACGGTGGTGGTGGAGAGACCGGAGGATTTTCTGACCCAGCTTAAGAAGAAACATGCGAAGACGAGAGATGGAGAGGAGAGTCGGTGGGCTGGTACGGCTTTGGGGAGGGAAAAGGAGAGGGAGGGCGGGGTGAAGATTGAGGGATGGGAGGGGGTGGAGGAGCTGGGGGATTGGGCGGAGAGGTTTAGGAGGAAAGGGGACGGGGTGGTAGAGGTGGGGACTGGGGTGAATGAGCTGGGGGCAGGGAGGAGTGAGAGTAGTAGTCCTTTGAGTGAGATTAGTGCTGTTACTGCGACTTGAGATACCCGAAAGGCGAACGCGTGATAGAGAGGAGCGATGATTGGACGAATGCTACTACATACTCAGAAGATCCCTGAGCGATCGTTACTGGTACCTGAACAGGTTTGAGAGGGGAACGAACGGTCTTCTCGTGTTGGGCGCGGAATGCCCGTGGCTTGCAAGCTGTCAAGCGTCTTCCAACGATACTGAAGTACCTCCTCTCTGGAGAAAGAAAAGCGTCAAGAGCGGCAGGCCGAAAACCTTGAAAGGAACCGTGAGGTGAGATGATTGAGTGTTCCCTTTTAGCTATGCATAGTGTACAACAAAGCTCTCAGAATTAATCCTTGTATCGATCATTTGTCAAGTACACGAAGAAACGAACCATTGCACACCCGATTCGATCTCACAGCTCTCCACTTCCCTTCCACACATGCATCCCCACAAAGCACAACCTCCTCATCCACCATCATTTTCTATCCCAGACTTACGAACCCCCAACAGCCGCCCTTCCCGCACTCAGCGAGAAATCAATTCTCAAGGGTCTCCCACAGACCACTTTGCCTGACAACTCCTTCATAGCCCTCTCCGCACTCTCTACATCCGTAAAATCCGCATGCGCAAAGCCTCTAGGCTGTCCCGTCCTCCTATCAATTGCTACCCTCACATCAATCACATTCTTGATCTCTCTAAATAGACTATTCAAGTCGCGATCACTCATATCGAAGGACATGTTTCCTACGAAGAGAGTCTTGGTGGGAGGGTGCATTGGGCGATCCGCGGGGTTTGCGTAAGGCGTGCGTGGGGGAGGGACAGATGTGCGGGAGAGCGAAAATTGGACGGAGAGACGGCGGCCTTCGTAGTTTTGCATGTTGAAGAGTTCGATGGCGCGCTGGGCGGCTTCGACGGTTTCGAAGTTGACGTAGCCGAATCTATGTCAACCAGGCACAATATTAGCAACTGCCATTTAGGTGCAAGTGGATTTATGTGCAGGGGCATCTGAAAGAAGGCAGGGAAGACGGTGACGAACCCTTTACTCAAACCTCTCGGATCCATTATAATCTTCACATCAACCACCGGTCCCGCCCTCTCAAAGTCCTTCTTCAAGTCCTCGCTCCTCACATCAAAGAATATATTCCCCACATATACCGTTTTAGACGTCTCTGCAGGTGGAGCGTCACTGCCAGTTTCCGATCCCTGCGACCCAAATCCGGCAGCAGCACCAAGACTTTGCGCAGCACCAGTAACGGCTCCCCCAGCTGTTTGGGCGGCGGATTTCACTGAACCGGCGGTAGAGGAGGCTTGCTCGGTAGCTTTCTCGGTTGCGGACTTGACCTCTGATGCAGCGGCGCTTTCTTCGGCTTGTTCAGCGGGTGTGAAAGTGTTGGCATCAGCATCGGCGTCTGCAGAGGCAGCTATCGAGTTGTCGCCATGTTGGGCTTCGGTTGCTCCATCTGCTTCGGGCTCGGATTGTGTAGCTGGTTCGTCGGCGTAGTGTCTTCGCTGGAGGGGCAGAAAGGCTGCACCCTGGGATTTTCTGAAGGAGACTGGGTATGCGAGATGTGTAATTGATCGCGCTTTGCTTGCTGGTATCGAGATGAATACAGAGGGAGAGGAAGAGAGCACGCGCAGCGCTGTTCGACGGAGGCAGAGCCTTGGGTTGGAGCATTAGCATTCGCCAGGTGGGTGAAGGATTTAGGACCTACATTGTGATTACAAAGTACAAAGACAAGTGCAGGTTGGAGATGGTCTGCTTGGAGAGGATTGAAAGGAGTCTGGTGGATTTGAGGTCGAAGATTGGATCTGCGGAAAAGTTTTAAGTCTCTTTGGACCCTAGTCTCAGCCCTACCAAGGGACATGCCAAGAAAACGAAATTCAAAATGTGGGAAGTCAGGCTGTCGAAAGGCATAGTGACTACGGAGAGGGTTCTGTGTTTAAATGTTACACGCTGGGCTTCAAATTGAATGCTAAAGCTTTGGGAATCATGTTGTATTGCCATTCCCTTATATACTAGCTTCCGATCACCAATATCCAAGGCTCTTGGCCCATATTCCCGTAACGGTCCTCTCACAATCGCAGAAACGTAGCTACCAGCTTAGGGAAATTCGGAGTTCCCAGCCCTGTCACTGGATCCCACCCCGTTGTCGCTGTAAATCCCGGAGTCCCACACCCCATATTTCCTCCACTCGTGATATCGTTCAGATCCCCAGGATGAGCGTAAAGGACAGGATTGATAAAACCGACGGAGCTCTTTCCAATTGCAAGCCTAGCCTCATTGACAAGGGTGAAAATGGACGCAGCCACAGGCGAAGATGCAGAGGTGCCGTAGACAAGGGAAAAGGTGCCGTCGACTGCAATCACGTAGTTCGCGCCGTTGGCGGATATATCGGGAAAACCTCGAGTCTGCTGAGAATTGTTGTACTGAGCGGAGGTGTATGGAGGTGGGTGATTGGCAAAGAACGACTTCACTGCTGCCGCTTGGTAAGAGGGAAGAGGGAAGACGTTGGAGAAGCCGCCGCCGGAGAAGATGACTGTTTCACAGGCTTCTTCCGGCTGGGTGACCGAGGCGCCGGGCTTGATTTGTGTGGCTCCGACTGATGTAATGTAGGGGCATGTTCCTGGGAAGGATGGATTGAACCTGCCGGAGGTGCCATCGTTGTAGCTGCCGTTGGCGGCGATGCATTGACCACCGTTTCCGGCAACGCCGTAGTCTCCAGAGGAGTAGAAAAAAGTAGTTCCTTGAAGACCAAGCTTCATGTACTCATTGCATTGGCGCATCTCATAGAACGCGGTCAAGTCTGCTTCATTGTAGGCGTACGAAGTCGAGATAACCTTCGTCGCGGCAAAGCCACCACAATTCTCGGGGCCTTCGTAGCCACCGAAGGGATCAGGATAGACAGCGTCCTGAGTTGGATCATCTCCTCCCTCGTAGGTACAGTATGAGCCGTCGATGGCGTCGAGGAAGTTGTTGAAAGAAGCACCCTCAATCAAGTCTCCCGCTTGATACAGTGTGACGGGCTGGGGATTGACCAGAGTCATGGCATACTCAAGATCCAGGTCCGACTCGCCGTTGTATTCGAAGCTTTCCTCCGTCGTCTGCAGGACACCACCATCGATGGAATCGAAAGTAGGAGTCTTCTGGACTTGGTTCTTGGAAAAGTTGGCAAAGAAGAGATCCAGATCGCCCTGAAGATAGGCTTCCGGTGTGTATTCAACGATGCTGAGAAAGATGTCTGGTTAGCAATATTTAAGTGTGTTCAGATAGTAAATTCACATACCCAAAGCTGTTCTTAGAATTTGCAGCAAAGTTGGGAGGGAAGCTGTAGAGCGCACGCAAGCAATCAGGCACGATGAATTCGTCACAGGTTTCAAGTTCTGTGATGATACTCTGAATGTTGATATCAGCTCCCTTCTTAGGAAGATAGCCACCACTAGGGTCTGTGATCTTGTGCACGGCGGCCTTGGATTCTACCGGCACTCCTGCAGCAGCAATCGTCGGCGGAGCTCGTTTCTCGAGGGGCATATCTCGCTTCTCCATGTGTCTACCTTGAGGGATTTTCGTGTCAAAGTGGACAGTGGGCGTGATAAAGTCCACATGAGGCTGGACAAATTCGGGGATGGAATAGTCCTTGCAACCGACATGGGGTTTGCCAGTGGTATGCTTGTGCATGAAGAATTCCGTCTTCAGCAGATTCTCGGCCTCGGCGACGGTAGCATCGAAAGTCAACCATCCCATGGACTGAGACCTGGAAATTCGCTCAGACGAAATGCCAGAGCTCTTCAACCACACAGTTACCGCATCGAAAGATTCTCGGCTGGGTGCAAAGGTCTCGGCAACCTTCTTTGCGGACCAGTGTTGCCCGTATTTTGGTGAGCTGGGATGGGAAACTTCCATGAGGAACTCTTCGGCTTTATCCAAGTTGCTTTGCTTGAGTCCGATCCGCATGGGCAATATCTCATGGCTGGGGAGCTTGTTGTGTCTTTCCCAACCGAAGGGCAAAGTACTACGCTTCTCATGCAGGACATGTGTGGATGAGGGGGCAGCAATGACGCTGGCCACCAAAGCCCCGAGGGTGAGGAGAGTAAAACGCATAGTGAGAGCAAGCTGTTGATTTCACCTGATGGGAAAGATCTGAGAAGGTGAGGGGCCTCTTTAAGAACCAGTTTTTCGAATGCATCACGACCTGCAGGTCCAACCGTTCTTTTCTTCACTCAGATACCTTATCAACAAGTGCAGCAGACATCTCCTCCCCATGAGGAAGGAGATGTGGTGGTCCAGGTCGCATGGAGAAGCAGGTGGCAGGCGCTGAGGTCACTTCCAGAGCAGGAAGCTGACCTGCATACAGCAGTCTTGTCTTAATTCGAGGTGGATGCACGTGAGAGCTTATCAGCTTGCAGCCAAGGTGCAACAAAAACTACCGTGTGTGTGTGTGTTGGTCGTCGGTACTCGTGAGCAAGGAAAAGAAGGATGGAGGTCATGCTACGTAGTAGACATGACAAGTACTTTGTCTAGGCGTCGCTCAAGATAGAAGGAGGGGTGCCCATTAGCTCTGAGATATAGATTAGCTTGTAGACACTAGGAGGATAGTCCGAGACACCTACCTTGGTTTATCGACTTTGTCCTTTGGTGTGAAAGTTTCAAGTACCTAAATCCCACGTAACGGATAGCTTGACGACAATAATGATAGGTACATGTCGGCTTATATACGGTGGGTGTGGTGCGCATATAGATGTCGTCACCGTTCTCGGTCACACTCGCATTGCATAGATACGGTTTGGAACATTACAGTATTCTCCCATTATTTGCTATCGATGAACAAGCTCTGTTCATCTCTGTTCTTCTGTTGCATGTTACGGCCTAGGTCGTGTGCTTTTCCCCAAGGAGACGGCTATCAACAAGGTGACCCTTTCATGCAAATGGCAGTGTCTATCAAGAGGCGTTTTTCCGACCTGCTGGAAGTGGTTACTGGCAGTGGGAACTCCCAGGATGAGGAGGATCTTGCATGACTAGGCTGGTGAAGTCGGATGGTGGGATGGTTGCCTCTTGCTTAATCTCTCTAGCGCTCCTGTAATATTCTACCGGAGAACTCCCGCTTGCATCTTGTGCTGGTAGCATATTAAAGAACAAGGATCAGAAACCCTTTCGTAATGTAGTGGGATAGAAGAAGATGTAGAGTCCAGGGACGAAGTCTTCCTCAACACCCCACCAAGCTAGGTACCTGGTAAGCTATGCTATATAGGGTTAGCCTGCATAAGGCTCCACATTGCCTCAGTTCTCAGACGTGTCTAATACCACCTACCTTTTACCTCCTTGGGTGACGATCCGATCTCTTTCCGGTAGTAGGTGGTGACACCTGAAGGAGCGTTGGCTTCGACGGAGACCAGGGACTATGTAATCGAAGATCATGCATGCAAGAGCCTCAGGTATCTTGTGTACTGTACGTAGTTTCAACGTTCGCAAGCTAATGGAGAGTAACTAGTAGATACAAGTACAGGAAGCAATAAGGTACCCTCTAATGAGGTTGACCAAAAGCGAGTCGGTAGCAGCCCCGGGCCTGCTAGCCCTCGGCGCTCCAGGCGGGCGCTGCCGCTGACTGCGATAGTGGCGAATTGGCGATGCTCTGCTGTTGATCTTGAAACGGGTTCCCAACCTTGCTTGTCTCCTTCTACTGTACAAGACTTGATCCATCGCCATCGTAGCTCATCCAGCTCGTAACATGACTCTCCCCGGTCTTCTTACCACCATGGCCTCCATCCAGATTTGGATGCATCACTGATCCATCCGCTGTTTGGCGAAGGCCGCCATGGCCACTACTGTTCACTCTTGAGGGACTGGGTGTTTGCCGGGGAGTGTTAATCGAAGAGCGCTCGGCGTTGGGCGGAAGCTCGGCTGGGATGTGGAATGCAGGTACCTCTAGCTCAGGTTGCTTCCCGATTGGGTCGGGCGTTGAACCCAGCATTTCGGGACCTGGCTGGATGGGTGACCAGGGCCGCGAGGGTGAACACGGATCGCTTCGCTTGTATGCAGCATGTCCGTCAACGCCTGCATTGTTCGTCCCAGGGTACCACAAAGAATTATGGTCAGCGTCTCTGGATGCAGGAGCGGTTTCTGTGCAGAGCGATTAGCCTATATGCATGGTCCACTGCAACTAACCGCTAGGAACATCCATAGAAGTGCCCGAAAGAACGCTGGTCACGGGAAGAGGGATGATCATACGGTCAGGGAGGTACCGCTTAGAGGCACCTTGTTGGGATAGCTTGGTTGGAAGGGGGTAACTTGAGCAGAATCCCATGACTTACCACTACCATCTTTATCTTGGAAAGCATTCCCTGCGCCACTCGCATCAACTCCTTGCAATCGCAGATCATTGTCCTGCTCAGTCGCCCGTACTTTGTCCTCTGTGCGTCTCTTATGCCATCTGAGTACGACCAATATCAATATCAATGCAATGATGGCCCCAATGATAGCTCCAACGGTTCCAGCAGCGACTGCTGCCGTGTTTGAGTGCGAAGACGAGGAAGAATGCACAGTCGCAACTGGTGCTGATGAGGTAGCTGCGATAGGAATTGCTGTATGAGCGGATGTAGGAGGAGGCGTTGAACTTGCTTTGCTGGAAGAAACTGTTGAACTTGTTTGACTGGAAGCCGGGGGAAAACTCGAAGAAGAGCGTAGATTTCTGGAAGAAGTTGAGGGAGTTGAGGGAGTTGAGGAAGTTGAGGAAGTTAAGGAGGTTGAGGAGATTGGAGAGGTTGAAGAAGTTGTCTTGGTATGAGCCGTACTGGTCTTTGTGCTGGTCTGAGTCGACGTAGCAGCAGCAGCAGAGGCTGATGATATAGCAGCAGCTGAGAAAAGATTCATTGTCAGTTCGCGTGCGCCTAGAGTCTGTACAAATGATAAGATATCATCATTATTACCATGGTCGCAAGATTCCTTAGTAGATTAGCCCTCGAAGTACCCTGTCTCATCGCAAACAAGTTTTTAAAATGAGTATTCAGGAGGACATGCTGGTTGAGCGGCCCTCTTCGTGTACTTGAGTGATTAAGAGACGTATGGCCTGGCCGATAGGGTTTAAAAGAAGAACGCTACTCACCAGATGTGGATGCAGCGGCTGCCTCCGACGAGGCACTGGAGCAAGGATCCGGATCAAAGCAGCCATAGAAGAAGTAGCCGGGCAAGCCGCAAGTAGTGTTGTAGAATGATTCAGGAGCACAATTTTCGGTTTCAGAGGCGCGCTTCGTGTACTTGACTGGCACTCCTTTGCACAATCAGACACGCAAGGTCTGGTGGGCGAGGTTCGAAACAGAAGCGTGGCTCACCTGATGTGGACGCGGCCGCGACTGTTAGACCCTCGCAAGGATCAGCTACAAAGCAGCCATGTGATTCCTGATTGGGGTCGGCACAAGTCTCGTCGTACCATAAGGTTCCAGGAGGGCACACTGCTCCTTGAGGAGATGTCGGGGTACCGTCCCGCTTCGTGTGCTTCGGTCTGACTTGCTTGGAATTGAAAACACCCATGGCGTGACGATGTTTAAGGGCAAAAGAGAGTTACTCAGTTCACACGATTTGGTTGTGGGATGTGTGGATGTGTACATGTGAGAGAAGTGCTGTTGCTCGAAATTGCAGTGTCACGTCGAAGTGACGAATTCACACCGCAGCGGCTGAAAGACTGCCATTGGCTCGATCTCGACTATTTAAGATCCGCACTGCATACTGCCAATTCTACTATCAGGTCCTGATTCTTACAATGACTCACACGAGAAGTATGAAAGCTTGGATTCTTACTTCGAGACCTTTTCCCCGAAAAGCACATGCAGGTGTAGGTGCCATTCATGACCCTCCCCACAGTCCTTGGCTTGCATTATGGAGGTGTTCGAAAATTAAATATTCCAGTCTCGACTTTCTCTCGCATTGGGCTTCCAGCGGTGGACTTCGGTGAACTTCCCAGGTTCCATTTGAAACCTGTACTTGACCCATTTCTTCTTGCTTTACCTTCCAAGCCTCATAGACGCTTTCGCGTAGTTATGCAAAGCTCTCAAAAAGACCTGATACCCAACGCCAGTGTTATCTTGCATGTGGTAAACCTCGGTTAATCGAACTTGCCAAGGGGGATAGCCCTGCAGTTCCACGCTTGGTCCAAAAAGCACAAGTAGATCCGGCTCCCCCATGACACTTTCCGTGATCTCCGCATCTACCAAGTCCAAGGATATGTCATTTGGGGACAACTTCTTCCGCTGCGACATCTCTGCCAGGGTCTTGGTCAAGTCTACAAGAGTTGAGCGACCATCTTCGGCGGAAAGGAGGAGTATCGAGAGATGGCCTAGGCTCCGTCATCAGCCCCTTATGCGGAATAATGCATAATAAGATTGACGTACCTGATAAAATTGACACACCACCCTCTTCAGAGCTGCCACCATTCAGATAAGAGGGTACGTGAGGCGCTCGAACCTGGAGAGATGGTATATAACGTCCAAAGTAATTGTGCAGTTTCTTGGTGACAGTCCGATGAGTTGTTGGAATGTAGGCCTTCAAGATACCTTCGTCAGATCAGCATCGCCATATCTCTTCAAGACGATGGATCATACCGGTCCTTTCATATACGCTGAGCATCGGTATCCCCACGCAAGAACACCATGCCGATATCTCTGCCACCTCATCCATCAAAGCCCCCAAGGCCGCAGTGCCCCTCTCCTCTCCTTTCAATTCTAGAATCACACTCAGATGCCCCGGTATCCTGCTGAGATTTTTCACGTCTTGCCGAATAAGCTCTGGCGCTCTATGATGGTAGTAAAGAATGGCAAAGACGCGATCGAGAAGGATATGATAGGTCTGCCGTATCCGGATGTAGACTGAGAATAGCGTATGTATTATTATGAAGACGAGCAGATGCAATTGTTGTTTTAGGAAAGTCTGGACAGGCTGCGACCTTCGTTTTCGAAGAGCTGGAGCTGGAGTCCTGCTCAAAGGAGGCGCTGGAAGGTAAGGGTTGAGCATATCCTCCCTCTGCTCGGGAGAGAGGAAGCTGCCTTTGCTTCGAGCATCTTGCCGATATATCTTTGTCTCTCGAGAAGCGACCATCTTCAAACAAGGGACAGGTGAGAAAAAGGCGAGCGAGACAGTATATCCGCTTCCCAGAAGAAGTTGTGCTACGAGGCACACTGGAGTCAGCTGTCAGGCACCGTGGTTGATACTAACATTCCTAGATTAGTATTCAGGATGAGCAATCGTAGTATACAGAGCATTTTAATGGTGCTGTCAAAGAGTAGCTGTGCCTATCAAATGCGGCGAAATTCCGCACGCGGCAATCCACTGTCAAGCTCCTACCCTTCGATCAGCTCCAACAGTGCACCACAACTCGAACTATGATGCTTCTCGTGTGGAGGTCACGGTCTTTCTGCTAATGATAGTGATTGCTTCGTCACCAGCTCTTATTGAATAGCAGAATGCCAGCCACCTCAAGCCAAATCTCAAATTCTCACCCCCCTTCGACTTACTCCGCTAGATCAGTATTTCCCCAGGCACCCATCTTCACCCTTGATACCTTCTCAGATCGTGACTTCATTGTCAAAGACTTTGTGGAAGCTCTTTCCGACAGCGCCGTTCCTCCCAATCGCAGATCCGGTCCAGCGCATCAAAGCAATGCATTCGACCCAAAGCCCCTCATACGCAGCTTCGAGCATGCCCTCAACCGAATGGGCGATCTCTCCGGAGACTTGGAATCAAAGGAAAATGAACTGTCGGGGGCAGTACGACGAGCAGAAGCACAGCATAATACCAATGTCCAAACTCTAAGCCGAAGGCTTGAACAGACTGTCAACTCGTTCAACCTTCTTGACGCATCTCTCAATGGGGACCAGTATGATAATGGAGGCAATGAGGTGGTGAAGATTGGTGAAAAGCTTGAAGATCTTGACAGGCAACGGCAGAGGGCGTTGGATGCGAAGTTTCTGATCCAATGCTGGATGGAAGTCAGCGAGCGTGGCGAGCTGATATTGCTGGAAGACATCAGGCGGCAAGGCAGCGGGGAGGGCAAGGTTAGATGCGCACGTATTGCCCGACAATTGATGAGGATCAGTCAACGACTTGAGCCTGAGAATTGGACCCATGTCAACGGCAATGCAAAAGAGGTCAATGGCGTCAATGGTACCTACGGAAAGGACTACGATCGAACAAGGCGGCATCACAACACCAGAGAGCTAATTGAGAAGTTCTCTGAAACGCTGGAAAAGGATCTGCTCAAGTCTTTCGACGACTTCTACCGAAGGGAAAATTTCGAGGGGATGCGAGAGTGTGCCAACGTTCTTCACGACTTCAACGATGGTGCAAGCGTCATTGCAGCTTTCGTCAATCAGCACGATTTCTTCATCCAACGGAACCAGCTCATCACGGACGAAGTCGCTGGAGATGCTGAGACTTGGGATCGATTGGCAGATCCAGATGCTGAGCCTCCTAGCGTTGAGCCCACTCTTCAGTCGTTGATCGACGAAGTCAAGGTTGTCATGCAAGAGGAATCGATCATCATCAGGAGAGCATTTCCTTACTCCGACCAAGTGCTGGGAAAGTTCCTACAACGCATTTTCCAGCAATCTGTACAGCAGAGGCTCGAGATGGTCCTCGAAAAGGCCAGCACTATTTCTTCGCTTGCTTTTCTGAGATCTTTGCAAGCGGCTAGGGCCTATATCAGTACCTTGATAGACGACCTAAAAGCCCACGGCCTTACTGAGCATCCAGAACCAGCTTCGCCGCAAATTGCAATCATTCTCGATCAACAATTTGACGACTTATTTGTACCATATTTTGTTGGTTCGTCATACATAGAGCGTGAAAAGAGGAATTTGGAGGAGTTATACTCGTCGCTATTGTTCAGATTTACTATCTTTCACGTAAGACCTCCCTATCGTTCTGATACCGAGACTTCTCGCTGATAAGGGTACAGTCTCGAAGGCGCAAGATACCCACCACGTTCATGAAGTCTTTAGCCAAATCAGGCAGTGAAATGTTAGCATCTGCTCGGGATGCGTACGTGGAGCGTTTAGACTCATCAGATTTGGCTCCAGCACAAAAGGCCATGCTTCTCAGAGTGGCAGGCTTGAAAGACTCGGAGAGCGCGAAAACCCAGACGGAGATTGAAGTTACAGAACAAGACGGTGTTCTGAGTATCGACAATGCTAAGCGTATGCTGAAATGGCTTGCCGAAGCCGTAGGACGAGGTTTGGAGCTCAGTGGAGGCAATGAGACCCCAAAAGATGTTTTCGCTCTCCTCCATCTCTTACTGGGAAACATGGGCGAAATATATCTCGAGACGGCATTGGACTCGTAAGTGCTACGTCTACACCTAGTACGCTCATTGGTCTAACAACATGCCAGCGCAAATGACATCGCCGCCAGCCAGGAGACAGCCAAGAACGAGCCGGATCTATCATACCTGATCGGCCTGCGCCCAGCTATCGGTATTATGAATCTAATGAATACCTGCATCAGGGCTGTGCTCATCCCACTGGCCTCTGCCAACGTAACGATACGACGCGACATGGAGAAGACCGCCAATCTTGCCTTAGACAGAGTGGAAGAGAAAGTCAACAGTATCATGCAAAGATCCATTGACGTTGTCATCACATGGGTTACAAAATTGCTCGCTCGTCAAAACAAGACCGACTTCCGGCCTCGAGATGATGCTTTAGGCGGAGGAGGCGCATGGCTCGAGCAGCTTCAGACGCCGGTGCGTCCGATCTCGAGCATGTGATCCCTTATCCCAGCGCTAATACAATCATTAGACCTGCCTGTCCATCTTCCAATTCCTAACCCGCATCTACAGCCTCGCCTTAACAGCCCTCTCCCCTTCACCCAACCTCATCGCCTTCCTCACCGAACTCGCCACCACATTCCGCACCCTGCTCTTCGAGCACTTCAAAAAATTCTCCGTGAATGCAGCCGGCGGTATCGTGGTCACGAAAGACATTAGCAAGTATATCGAGTTACTAAAACCTTGGCAGCTGGACCCCAGCTTTGAGCCGAGTTTTGAAGTATTGACCGAGATTGGGAACCTTTTCGTGATAGGGCCGGAGGCGCTAAAGGAGAGGTTGAGGGGGAAAGGTGGTGCAGGAGTAGGTGTAGGTGGTGGTGGGGCGTGGGAAAGGGGAGATATGCGGCCATACGTGCTGAGGAGGGAGGATGCTGGGAGTGTGGGGGTGCAGAGTGTGCTCAGTGCCTTGTAGGAGTGAAGACCTTGTGGAGAGCGCGTGTAGATTTGGGTTAGGCGGCGTACAAGCATGGCATTCGCAGCGTTATCTTAGAAAGAGCGATAGATACCCATTTGTTCGTCGAATAATCACCTTTAAGATTCTTACCTCTGTGCTTATGTTAACACAAAATCCCTAGTTCAACCCTTTGCGATTTTGATATACCGTATTTACTCCCCGTGTCCGCCATGAACAAGCGGCGAACTTTGATAGGGCTGAAAATCACGGCTTTTCTCCGGCTATTTATCTGAATACTCAAGGGAGATGCGTCGAACTCGCACAAGACTAGAACCAGAAGACGAAAAACGCCAGAAGCCTTTCGTATCACCGCAACATAGACTGCTACTCTTTGATACAATGTCATCTTCCAACAACATCTTCTCCCTCTCGGGCCAGTCCCTTAAGCTCGACACTGCCGAGCACATCGAGCCCCACCTCAAACCCTTGATCGCCTCGAATACAGTCACAGAAATCCACCTTGGTGGCAACACACTCGGCGCTCCAGCCTGCGAGACTCTCGCCTCAGTGCTCAAAACGAAGATAACACTCCAAAAAGCCAAGCTAGACGACATATTCACATCGCGCCTGCTCTCTGAAATCCCCCCAGCGCTCTCGTCCCTCCTCACGGCCCTCCTTGAGTTGCCGAACCTACATACCGTCGATCTTTCTGATAATGCTTTCGGCCTGAACACGGTGGAACCACTTGTAAATTTTCTGTCGAAGCATGTGCCCCTGCAACATCTCATATTGCAGAACAACGGTCTGGGTCCCAACGCGGGTACCCTGATCGCCAACGCCTTGACCGCCCTCGCCGAGCGCAAAGAAGAGGCCAGAAAGTCTGGAAAGGCGGTACCAGACTTAGAGACGGTAATATGCGGCCGCAATCGGCTCGAAAGTGGCTCGATGTCTGCGTGGGCTAAAGCATACCGAGCGCACCGGAAGGTCAAGATGGTCAAGATGGTGCAAAACGGCATTCGCCAGGATGGGATCAGCCTGTTATTGACAGAAGGATTGGTATGGTGCCAAGAGCTTGTAGTACTGGATTTGCAAGACAATACTTTTACGATTACCGGAGCCAGGTCATTAAGTCAAGTTGTTGCGGGATGGAAGCAGATCAGAGAGCTGGGGATTGGCGACTCCCTATTAGGCAGCAGAGGTGCCGTTTTGTTCGCTGAGGCCCTAGGGAAGGGAAACAATGGGCTGCTGGAGGTATTGAGGTTGCAGTATAATGAGATTGACTCCAAGGGGGTGAACGCCCTGCTAGTCGCGGCGAATGATAAGCTGGTGAAGCTGAGGAGGGTGGAGCTGAATGGAAACAAGTTTTCGGAGGACGATGAGCCTGTGGAAGGGTTGAGACTGCTGTTGGAGGAGCGGAAGGAGAAGGCAGGCGACGCAGAGGGGGAATGGGGATTGGATGAATTGAGCGATCTGGAGGAGGAGAGCGATGAGGAAGATGAAGATGAAGATGAGGACGACGACGACGAAGCAGAAAGAGAGGAGCAAGAGGAAGCGGAGCACAAGAGGGAAGGTATCTTGAAGGATGCGGACCAAGAAGAGGCCCAGAAAGTCAGCCAGAAGAAGGATGATGATGTGGACGCTCTGGCGGATTCCTTGGGCAAGACCGAGATCTAGACCCGGTTCCTGCTACCTCGATAGATTTATTCCCCCTGCCTTCTGTTGCCATCGCGGCGCACTGCCTATCCAGTCCCTTATCGATATGACATCCAGACCACTGTTCTGGTACAAGTAGCAGGCAAGCTGCCGAAAAACTATCTTCCTAAGGGACCGAGGCCGACAACTCGCTTGTTGGCCAACAAAAGAGGTTTGGCGTTTGGGCTGCTGATTCAATGTTGTTTGTCCGCCTGCACCCCGCCATCGACTCACACTTCAGCATTCTTCTTCCCACGATATTAACAGATTCTCGCAATGGCTGTGTTCTTCCCCACTCTCCAGCCCTTCAACAACCTCCAAAAATGGCCTTCGCCCAGATACCGGCTCCAAGTGATACCATCATGACCGAGCTATCCAATCTCAACAACATCATCACGGATCGCCTCGTTCTGCGTCCTCTACGTTTTACCGATAGAGACGTGATTCGCTTCTTACGCTTCAATCCCCAAGTCGTCGCTGCATGCCTTGCACACAGAAAGGCAGAGACAGAGGCGGAATTTGATGCGTTTCTGGAGCGACTAATGGAGGGTGGTAAGTGTGTGAGTCATTGTGTTGAGCTGCGGGTCTCTTCCCAGAGTGAGGGCGAGAAGGTGGAAGCAAAAGAGCAGAAGTTGACGCAGGATGAAGGAAACGAGCCCAACAGTGCGGATAAGGAACATAGAGAGAATCATATCATCGGCGTCATGGGTGCCCACCGCGTCCCAGAGATCGGCTACATGTTCCTACCTGAGTATTGGGGGAAGGGCTACGCGACTGAAGCTTTGAAAGCATGGATGGAGTGGTATTGGATAGCGTATCCAGGAGGCCATGTGGAGAGGGAATATCTGAACGCGATCACGTGGCCAGAGGCGGTAGGTAGCCAGAATGTGTTGCAGAAGTGTGGGTTTATGTTCCTGCATAACATTCAGCAGGAAATGGACAAAAATGGAGAAACAGAGGAAAAGGAGGATAAGGGTAAGGAGTTTGTCATGCTTAATCTTTGGATTGCTGGGAGGCCACCTTCTAGGAGAAACAGTTTAGCATCCAGCTAAGCACTAGGGGTTTCTTTAACTGCGATCACGCATTGGCAATGTACTCGAAAAGGTCAACACCTATAACGAAGCTCGGATGTTAGGTAATCCCTCAGATGAAGTGTCAATTTCCTGTGGACATCTCCCGAGTCTCAGTCCATTCGGGGTATCAAGCTGGTAGCATTACGAGTCGTGGAAACCCTCCAACCAGACTGTTTCACGGACGAGAACTTGGCTTCTCATGCTCAAAAACTCAAAGTCCTATCGATTTTCCTCCCAAAAGATGCTAGTTTTCCTAGCAGTGCGCCTGCTGGTCACGAACGTGCGCAGCCAGTTATGCTACGTTCTCACCCGACATGAAACCTTCTCTAAACCTGGCCTCGAGTTCTCCAGGGTCGGCTTCTATTCACCTACGAAAACAAAATGAATACACATTCACGCCGTCGCCAAAACCTTCTTTCTCGCATGACTTTGTTATGTTCCTTTCTCCTGAGATGCATCCCCAAGTTCATATCTTTTAATTACTACAATTGTGCCCTTCTGAATATATACGTGTGCAAGCATCGTCTATATAAGTTGTTTTGGACCTTGATCAGGATCGATATCACACTTCATTGATACTTGGAGTTACTCTTTTGACCTTGCTTCACAAGCTTCTCTCAACATGCAGACAGCGCATCTAGTTCCTAGCTGGTTGGAGTGTTGTACCGATAAAGCTACTATAAGACTATTTCAGGATCTTGATCCCGTGCATTTGTCAAAAGTCACTGAAAGAAGTTGCGCTTGTCCCGGAAACTTTAAGGTGGCTCTCAGAGATGCATCCTATGTTTTGCTAACAATATCATTTCAGAATGATCTAGGGATGCTCATAGAGATGGCTAGGGCATCATAGGCAGTTCCAGATCCCTAGACGAATCCACTCGCTTAATCGAATTGATCGAATCCAACGAGATCGTCAACTACCACTTCAAAAAAGCTGTCAGCACCTTTTTGGCCTCACACAACTAGCGAGCCAGCTACGGACTAAGCGTCAAGGAGATGATCTTCATGGCTCTACGTCTGTGCTGCCAGATTTTAGAACTTACTACCAACGAAGACCACTGAGCAGTGGTCTTCGATCTCGGATTACATTTTCCAGAGAGGGCCCGAGAATTCTTACCGTCTCGAGACTTGATTTCATCGACAAGATTAGCGTGCTCACATGACGCCGTGAGGTTACCGGCTCGCTGGCTATGGATGAGAATCGGCGGCGATAAGCCTGCTACAATTTTATACTATATATCAGTATATATAACGAGTAAAGGCCTATGAATTAAATTCATAATCATTTTTTTAATTAGGGCTATCGAGTAAATAGATAAGCGATCTTTAATAAGCGAACTTTAATAAGCGATATTTGAATTCCTTACGCTTTAATAATTATAAAATTAAATTTATAAATTTCTTTTTTATCTAAAAAGTCTATATTTTATTTTATAATTTAAATAAAATATCTTAAAATTTTAATAGAAAATAAAAAAGTTATTTTAAAATTAAATAATATCTATTTATCTTTTAATTAAAGCTATTTAACTATTAAGCGAATTTTAATAAGCGAATTTTAATAAATAATATTTAAGATCTTTACTCTTTAATATTTATAAGATTAAATTTTAAATTTTTTTATATTATTAAAAAGCGTAATTATCGCTTTATAATTAAAAAAAAAATTAAAAATTTAATAATAAATAAAAAAATTATTTTATAGATAAATAATATATATTAATTTTTTTAATAAGAAAGTATAAGAGAATTCTTAAGTTAATTTAATTAATTTAATTAAAGAATATAATAAACTTAAATTTATACGCTTTTATAATTTGTTTTTAAACTTCTCATTTTATTCTATTATTAATATAAGATTATTATATTTTTTAATTAAATCGACTAAATTAGCTTACTAATTCTCTTAAAACTTCTTATTAAAAAAATAGATATATATTACTTATAAATAGAATAACTTTTTTATCTTTTATTAGATTTTTTTTAAATTATAAAGTAATAATTACGCTTTTAATTAATATAAAAATTCTTAAAATTTAATCTTATAATTATTAAAGAATAAAAATTTTAAATATTATTTATTAAAATTCGCTTATTAAAGTTCGCTTAATAATCGAATAACTCTAATTAAATATATATTATTTAACTTTAAAATAACTTTTTTATTTTTTATTAAAATTTTAAAATTTCTTTTATTTAAATTATAAAATAAAATATAACTTACTTATATATAAGCTTTTAAATAAAAAAGAAATCTATAAATTTAATCTTATAATTATTTAAATATAATAAACAAGTAAAGACCTATAAATTAAATTTATGGAGTTGAATTTTTCATTTTTCTAAGTCGAATAGAGTTGGATTTTTCTAAGTTAAATGGAATTTTAGTTCTAGCCCTAAGTTAAATCGAACTCTAATCGCTTGCTGTGCGTTTTTGACCTACTTTCACTACTACGAAATTAATAAAGAAGGTGAAAGCCCTAACTCTAAGTTAAATTAAACTCTACTTACTTTCTATATAATAAATAACTTACTTCTATTACTATAGATCGCTAATTAATTATATTCTTATTTAAAAAAGAAGTATTTACTTAATAATCTTATTTTTAATATACCTCGCTAATTGAATAGATTATCTTCTTAATAAATCGTCTAGAGTTATAATTAATAGACTAGTCTTATTAATAATTTAATTTAGAATTATATATAATTAATTATAAGTAAAAACCTCGAGATATAGATATAAATTAATCTACTATAATAATTAGCCTTAGATTTTATTAATTATTATACTAAAGGTTAATCGAATTAGAAATTAAATATATCGAAAGAGAGTATATAGATCGTTTAAATTAGGCGGAGTTAGAGGGATATATAATATATAATATTATTTATTATTATATTCGCCTTTAAGAATATAATAATCGAGTATTTTAGATTTAATATACTTAACTTATAGACGTATCTTATTATATAGATTTATACGCTACTTTAAATTTCTTAATAGTATTATTATATAATTTTATTTTAACTTTAAATAATAGAGTAAAAGCGAGATTAATTTAAAGATATTTATTATTTTAGTAAGTAGAAGAAAGCTATCTTTCTTATTAACGACTTAATTTCTATTATTATAAACGATCTTAAACTTAGAGAACTTATTAAGAACTTAATTATTAAATTAAGCGATATTCTTATTAAAGATGTAAAGAATCGCCTTAGATATATAGAAATTAGCTATTCGATATAGGTTAAGATTATTATAAATAATATTAATTAGCTAAGTAATAAAGTTATCTAATAATTACCCGATAAATTAATCGATAGCTTCTTATTCTTTAAAGCTTATTAAGATATTATTATCTATATCTAATAGTTTTTAAGCGAATTTCTCTATATTAGTTTAGCCTTAATTAGTAAGATTAAAATTTCGAAGTCTTATATTTTCTATTAATCTAAGAATTTAAATATAATTTTAAAGATAGAATATTCTTAATATAGCTCGAGCGATATAATCTAACTTAGCACTCTTAATAATCGAAAAAATTTAACGAAAATTATTATAGAAGTATATAATTATACTATTAAAAGAAGTAGAGTTTTTTTAAATATCTTAAAGTATATAATTAACGGTCTTAATATCGTAGCGATTTTATATAAAGATCTCGTCTTAGAAAATAAGCTTAATTGCCTTTAATAATTAAGCTAAATTAAACTTTATTAATATATTATAATTAAATTAAGTAATAGTATTAAAAAAGATCTTAAAGCGAGAATAAGTAGTAATATTATCTTAAAGGAGAATAAAGGTAATATTAGATAAAGCTATAGCAATAATTATCTTAGAGTTATTTTATATTCTTCGCAATACGATATTCTAAAGTATAGTCTTATTAATATCTTTATAGT